TGTAAAGTGGCGAGGAATCTACTTTGACAATGCACTCTCCTTTAAAGAACACGTAGCTACAAGGATTAGCCAAGCAAGAAACGCTTTCTACAGAATGTGCAGACTTGTAAACAGCAATAGAGGCCTCCCTCCTAGCGCTATAAGACAGCTATACTTAGCATGCGTTTCTAGCATCGCAGATTATGGTTGCCAGGTCTTCTGGAAACAACAAGCAGGAATAATAAAGCAACTCTAAGGACTGCAGAATCTTGCCCTAAGAAAAATCCTAGGAACCTTTAGGACCTCTCCTATAGCACTACAGGAGACAGAAGCAGCACTTCCTCCCCTTGCTATAAGACTAAATACTGCTCTAAGAAAGTATGCCTTTAGAGCTAGAAAGCTACCTAAAGATTACCCTGTTTAACGTGGTTCACAAGCGAGTCGCCCACCCAAGTGAGTCGCCCACTAAACACCCGCGCCCCGCCTGCGCAGCAACAACGCGTAATGCCACAACAACGCAACATGCGAAAGACCTATACTGAAGGAGATATATTTATTGCTATCTCTGATATTGAGTCTAAGCAGATACAGAGCGAAAGACGCGCTGCAGCAGTCTATAACATCCCACTAACAACGATCTGGGACTGACGCGCTGGACGACGCCCTTAACGCGACTGCGAGCCGAAATCAAAGCGCCTTACAAAGCTGGAAGAGGAGGCGATTATACAGCGTATACTTGAAGAGAGTCTACGTGGAATACCGCCCTCGAAGGCGCATGTACAAGATATGGCTGATAGACTGCTGAGGGAGCGTGGTGGGAAGCCTACAGGCAAGAACTGGGTTGATAACTTCATCAAGCGTACACCAGAGCTGCGCACGCGATGGAGCCGTCCGTACGATTGCCAGCGAGCTGCCTGCGAAGACCCAGCGCTTATCTGGCCCTGGTTCAGCCTGGTTCAATTGATGAAGACGAAGTATGGTATCACAGATGAGGACACCTGGAACTTTGATAAGTCTGGCTTCATGATAGGCAAGATATCCTCTCAGCTTGTTGTTACAGGCTCAGAGAAACCTAGGAAACAGAAGAAACTACAGCCTGGCAATCGCAAGTGGGTTACCCTGGTACAAGGCGTCGCTGCGACAGGGCGTATTATCCCACCCTTCCTTATCTTTGCAGGCAAGGTCCTAATCTCCTCCTAGTTCACTAGTCTACCTCGCAACTGGGTTGTCACAGTCTCTCCTACTGGCTGGACTAATAACAACGTCGCGATGGCATGGCTTAAGCACTTCGACGCCCATACGAAGGTGACCTCTGCTGGGGCATATAGGCTGCTTATTATCGACGGCCATGAGAGCCACTGCTCAATAGAATTCCAGGACTACTGCAAGGAGAACAAGATTATCACTCTCTGCATGCCACCACACTCATCGCACCTCCTGCAGCCTCTTGACGTTGTCCCATACTCGCTGTTGAAGCGCCACTACGGCGACAGGATCTCGCTCTTGGCACGCAGCCGCATCTACCATATCAACAAAGAAACCTTCCTACCAGCCTTTAAAGTAGCTTTTGAGAGGACGTTTACACCAGAGAATGTTCGCGCAGGGTTTCGAGGCGCTGGGCTAGCCCCGCATGACCCTGAGGTTGTGTTATCGAAGCTTGATGTACAGCTACGTACGCCAACGCCACCTGCACCAGGCACTGTCGCCTGGGAGGCGCAAACACCACGCAACGCCCGCGAGATAGAGGCGCAGTCAACGCTGATCCGAAATCGCATGCAAAATCATTGTGGGTCACCAGCAAGTTCATTAGATGAGCAGGTCAAGCAGTTAAGTAAAGGCGCTCAACAGATAGCTCATAATATGGTGTTAGTGCAGGAGGAAATAGGCCGCCTACAAGACGCTGTTACTACGCTTACAAAGCGCAAGACCCGTAAAAGGCGGTATGTACGCGTAGAGGAGACTCTGACAGTTGGTGAGGTATCTGACCTGGTTGCTGAAAAGGAGGGTGGTAGTCGTGAGGAGGGCAAGACGCCTGCAAAGAGGGTGCGCGCAGAGAGGCGCTGCGGCCGTTGCAGCGAAATTGGGCACAACTCCCGCACCTGTAAGGTAGAAATTGAGGACGTAGATGATAGCGACGCTTCTGAATAATATTATAATGTTATGTGTAGTATTGTAATTTATTGTAGTGCTGCGCTGCACTGCTGCGTAGGCGCGGCGCGGGTGTTTGGTGGACGACTCACTTGGGTGGGCGACTCGCTTGTGAACCACGTTATATTGTAATTAAGACTCTAAAAGCCACTCTACAGTTACAAAGAGAAGACTTAGAGTCTAGCAAAGAACAAGAGGAAGAAGCAGCTTTCCTAAGGCTAAGAACAGGCCCACCTACTTAGCTTATGCAAATTATATAATTAATACAAAACGCTACTCCTAGCATAGAAGAAGAAAAACTGCAGGACTACTATTTCTGCCCCTAGAATAAGACTATATTATACATAGCAGAGATCTCTAAACTCTCTAAAAAAGAAGAAGCAGAGCAATATAAAATGTAAATGCTACAGAGACTAGGGGACAACCTACTTGCTATCTACACAGACGCCTCCTCTATTAAGAAAGGCACAGGAATAGGAATAGGAGTTACTGCTCTAGACTATAAACAGCAGGCTAAGGAGATCTACTCTACTAAATATAATATTAGCAAAGGCCAGATTGTATACAATGGAGAGCTAGAAGGCATAACAAGAGCCTTTAAGTTTGCAGCTCCTACAGCTACAGCAGGACAAGAGATCTAAGTCTTTGCAGACAACCAGGCAGCCATTCTAAGGCTAAAGACCCCTTCTAATAACCCTAGACAAGCTTGGCAAATCCACTGCACAAAGGCAGCAAAGGCAATTCACAGCAAAGGCGCAACAGTTAGCCTACGCTAGACCCCAGGACACCTGGATATCACAGGAAACAAAAAAGCAGACTCCTTAGCAAAACAAGCTGAAAAACAGCAACTAGTATCTAATACTACAAGCCTTGCAATGACAGGTATTAGGATTAAAGCTATTGCAAGACAAGAGTGGCAACATAAACTCCAAGCCTACTCTATAAAAGCAAAGCTTAGGAATCCTAGCACCTACGCAGCAAGGTTCTTGCTAAAGCTAACAAGCAAGATAACAATACTAAAAAACACCAGAAGAGAAATTGCAAGCGCATACTACTAGCTTAAACTTGGACATAGATACAACAAAGCATACCTATATAATAGACAAAAAATAGGAAGCTCTAAATGCAGCTGCGGATATACACAAACACCTTAACACCTACTGCTTAGCTGTAGAAACTACAGAGAAGCAAGAAAGAAAATAAAGAGCAGCCTACAGGAGACAAGGCTAACAATGCCTCTTCTCCTAGACACAAATAGGGGAATCCAAGCTACTCTAGCTTTTATTTAAGAAACTAAAGTAGGCACGCGCAAGTGGTACCTACAGCAAAAAACAGACAACTAATTTCCTTTGTCTATAACTAGAGCACAGGCTCTCACTATATGTCTACGAACCTATATATACTATTCCCTTATACAGAAAAAACTTGTAAATTACTAGAGCAGCCTCACTGCTCTCGTCCTATATAGTCTTAGACTCACACAGGACGTTAAACTAATCAATCAATCAATCAATCAACCATAGGGTCTTCGTAAAGAGGGCTAGCGAGGATATGCTCGCTCAACGTAAGGCTGATCAGCAGATTGCTCGTGAAGAGCGTCAAGGAGGAGGGTGGTTAGGTGTTGGCCGCCATGCTCTTGCGCGCTGTAATAGGTGCAGAGAGACTAGGAATAACTCGCGTACGTGCGAGAAAGATACTCTAGATACTGCTAACGTGTTTCACAAGCGAGCGCCGCACCCAAGCTAGCGCCGCACTCTCGCTGCCAGAACGCCGGCGCAACAACAGCGCGTAATGTCTCAACCACAACAAGCTCCTACACTCTATACTGAAGCTGATGTACAGCTTGCTATATCTAATAACCTGTTTTATCAGTGAGCGCCCCACCTCAGTGAGCGCCCCACGAACACCAGCGAGGCGTACGCGCAGCGACATAGCTTAGCACCACAACACAAATTTTGTACTCTTGCAACAGTATAGTATTATTTAGAAGCATCACTGTTATTTATATCCTTAATTTCTACCTTGCAGGTGCGAGAGTTGTGCCTAATCTCACTACAACAGCCACAGCATCGCCCTGCGCGCACCCTCTTCGCCAGCTCCTCACCCTCCTCACATCTGCCACCCTCCCTTTCAGCAATTAAGTCTAATACCTCACTAACTGTCAATGTCTCCTCTGCCTGTACGTAGCGTCTCTTACAACTTTTACACTTTGTTGCTGCTTTAGTAGCAGTATTAAGGCGCACTATCTCTGCGCGCATTAACACTATCTTATAAGCCATCTGCTGCGCGCCTTTTGTTAGCTGCTGCACCTGCTTATTAAGTAAACTTACTAGAGACCCTTAATAGATTTTTATCCTATTTTAAACTAGTGTTAATTGCGCCTCTATTTCTTTAGCGTTACGTGGTGTTTTCGCCTCCTAAGCAGCGTCAACTTGCTGTAGTGGAGTTTGCGTACGCAGCTGCACATCTAGCTTTGATAACACAGCCTGTAGATTATGTGGAGACAATCTAGCGCCTTAAAACCCTGCGCAAGCATTCTCTCTTGTAAACGCCTTCTTAAAAGCTACTTTAAAGGTTAGTAAGAAGGTCTGTTTGCTGATGTGGTTAATGTAATTGCGTGCCAAGGCTGAGATCTAATCACTGTACGCGCGCTTTAATGGCAAGAAACAGGCGACGTCAAGCAGCTGCAGGAGGTGTGACAAGTGTGGAGGCATACAGAGGGCAATAATCTTCTTCTCCTTGCAGCGATCCTAGAAATATATTGAGCAATAGCTCTTGTGGCTGTTAATAATCAGCAGCCTATACGCTCCTACAGGCCTCGCATGCGTATTAAAGTAATCAAGCCAGGCAAGCGCTAGATTGTTGTTTGTCTAGCCTGTTAGGCTTACTTAAATAACCTAATTGCGTAGGAGGTCCTTAGTAAACTAGTTAGAGATAAGAACCTTGCTAGCAAAGATAAGGAAGGGTAGGATAACACGCCCTGTTGCGCTAACGCCCTGTATTAACATAGTCTACTTGCAATTACTAGGCTAAAGCTTCTTTGCTTTCCTAGGTTTCTCTATGCCTGTTATAATAAGTTAAAAAGATATCTTGCCTATTAGGAAGCTAGACTTATTAAAGTTATACATGTTATTGTCTACAATACTGTACTTTGCCTTTATATTCTAAACTAGCGTGAACTAGGGCTTAATAATTGCTGGGTCTTCGCAGAGAGCTTGCTGGTGATTGTATGGACGAGTCCAGCGCGTGCGCAGCTCAGGTGTACGCTTAATAAACCTGTCAACCCAGCATTTACCAACAGGCTCACCACCGCAGTCGCGCAGCAGTCTATCAGCCATATCTTGTACGTGTAGCTTCAAGGGCAGTACTCCACTTAGGTTCTTGTCAAGTATACGCTGCAGAATTACCTCCTCTTCTAGCTTTGTTAGGCGCTTTAATCTAGGCTCGCAGTCGCGTCTAGAGGGCTTCCTGTCACGTCATTGTTGTATTGTCCTACAAGGAACGCTGTAGACTGCCTCAGCACGTCGCAGGCTTGTAATCTGGTCGTATTTAATGTTAGAGAGGGCAAGCTGCACGTTAGCTTCAGTATAGGGCTTGTGAGGTTGTGGTTGTTGAGACATTACGCGTTGAGTGTCGCGCATGCGCTTTGCTGGTGTTCGTGGGGCGCTCACTGAGGTGGGGCGCTCACTGATAAAACAGGTTATCTTAAGAAACTAAATTCAAAGTATCTAACGCGCTAAGAAAGTCTATAAAGTGCCTAAATAAATAATCTAACACTAATATAACAGAACACGCTCTTAACGCAACTGCAAGCTAAATACAAAGCGCCTTACAAAGCTAGAAGAGGAGGCAGTTATACTACGTATACTTGAGGAGTCTGCGCGTGGCCTACCCTCCTAAAAGGCAGATGTACAAGATATAGCAGATAAACTGCTAAGAGAGCGCAGCGCAAAGCCTGTTAGCAAGAACTAGGTTAATAACTTAGTAAAGCGTACACTAGAGCTCTAGAAGCGGTGGACCCGCCTATACAATCGCCAGTGGGCTGCCTGCGAGGACCTAGCAGTTATCTAGCCCTAGTTCACGCTTGTTTAGTCTATAAAGGTGAAGTACAGTATTATAGATAAGGATATGTATAACTTTAATAAGTCTAGCTTCCTTATAGGCAAGATCTTGTTATAGCTAGTAGTAACAGGCTTAGAGAAGCCTAGGAAGTAGAAGAAGATCTAACCTAGCAATTATAAGTAGGTTACCCTAGTACAAGGTGTTAGGTTAATAGGGAAGGTTATCCTACTATTCCTTATCCTTACAGGCAAGGTTCTTATCTCTAACTAGTTTACTAAGGACCTCCTACAGGACTAGGTTATTAATATTAGTCCTACTAGCTAAACTAATAATAATCTAGCACTTGCCTAGCTCTACTACTTTAATACGCATGCAAAGCTAGTTAGGGCCTACTAGCTACTTATTATTAACAGCTATAAGAGCCACTACTTAGTAGCTTTCTAAGATCTCTACAGATAGAAGAAGATAATCACTCTCTGTATGCCCCTGCACTTGTTGTACCTATTGCAGCCACTTAATGTTGCCTGCTTCTTGCTACTAAAGCGCCTGTATAGCAACAAGGTTTTGGCCTTAGCACGCAGTCGCATCTACTATATTAATAAGGAAACCTTCCTACTAGCCTTTAAATTAGTGTTTAGTAAGGCGTTTACTACAGAGAATATTTGTGCAGGCTTTAGAGGTGCTAGGCTAGTCCTACACAACCTAGAGGTGGTGTTATTAAAGCTTAATGTGCGCCTGCGCACGCTAACACCACTAAAATCTAGCAACATTGCCTAGGAGCTGAAGACACTACACACTGCTTACAAAGTAGAGGAGTAGTTAACTCTAATTTAAAAGTAGATTTAAATCTATTAAGGGTCTCTAGTAAGTTTATTAGATAAGTAGGTTAAATAGTTAGTAAAGGGCGCTTAGCAGATAGCTTATAATATAGTGTTAATACAGGAGAAAATAGGCTGCATTTAAGACGCTGTAGTGTAAAGTTATAAGACTTTGTTCTTATAATCTTTATCTAGCGTATTTCCCTCTTCGGTACAGCGCTATGCTTACCTAAGCATTGCTATTGTAATGTCCAAGAAGAGAGGATTAGAATGGTGTGCTTACGAAGCCTGTATCTCCTCTCGTTCTTAAGATATGCTGTTCTCTATTTTTAGTAACTAGAAATGTTCTAGACCCTCTGCTTACAAATAGAGTAGCCTACTCTGTGAGATGCTGACGTATACGATTACGCATACACCTACGTAACCTTGCTTGCATATACAGCAATACTAAGCATAGATAAAGTAGACCTACCTAGAGGAGTCTAGAACGTTCTGCTTAGAAATACAGACAGAGGAGAGGAAGCATAAATACCTCTAGCTCTCCCCCCTCTGTTCGCTCTGTACCTAGCCTAGGAATCTCTACCTAGTATCTAATATAATAACTTGTCTATTATATTACATAACCCTACCTTACCTCTATTAGGCTATACGCTTCCTATTTAGACAAAGCTAGTCTAGATTTGTCTAGGTCCTTCTAGACTAGGAAGAAAGTAGTCTAGTCCTTCCCCTACTTTCTTTACATGTAGAAGCATCTACAAAGCACAAGACCTATAAGCAATAATATATACATACAGAGGAGACCCTTATAGTTAGTAAAGTAGCTAACTTAATTACTAAAAAGGAGGGTAGGGGTTGTAGTAAGGGCAAGACACCTGTAAAGAGGGTGTGTGTTAGACAACACTATAGGCGTTGCAGTAAGATTAGACACAATTCCTATACTTGTAAGGTAGAAATACAGGATGTAGATAATAGTAAAGCTTCTAAATAATACTATCTAGGCCTGCAAACAATTATTTATTTGTGTTGTGTTGTGATATAGCGCTGCGCAGGCGTTCTGTTGTTGAAAGTGCGGCGCTCAGTTGGGTGCGGCGCCCGCTTGTGAAACACGTTAAATCTATTCTATTAATTTCTATATATCGTCTTATAAGGTGGTTGAGATATACCTGTGTAGAGGTGCGCAAAGTTGGTGGAGTGTCACTCGCTTGTACGCGTCACTCGCTTGTAAAGCACGTTGTTGGGTTTTCTATAAAACTAAGTGGACGAGCTAAGAATGTGCACAGGCTAACAGAACACTGTACAGAGCTTAATAAATTCTGTATTGAGTAGGGCTACAGTGCTTGATACACATATGCCTGTTGTAGAAGACCCGAGTTCAGTGACTGTTGAATTGAACCTACGCCGTACCAAACACGAAGGCCTTCCAATTCTTGCCTAGGATGTTAACACCTTCCTCTAATCCCCATCCTTTAATCTTACATATCCTCCTAACGATATCCTCTAGCCTTAGATCCATCTCTTCACCTGCAGTATGTAAGTCGCTCTCAACGAGCAGCATCTCATCCGGCACCGTCTTGATCATGTTCTCAAACCCCGCCGGCGTCTCCTCATTAAGGGCATCACCCAAATTTATCGCCGTACTAAAGCTCGCGAAGATTCGGATCGGTATTGCAGGGTTTAGGTACTGCTTGAAGTTGCTCACACTCCCGGAGTATGAGTGCAGACAGATCTTGGGCGGATACGGCTTTGGCCCACTGCTCTCTTCATCTGCAGCATCGTTGATCTCAGCTTCAACAGTCGCATCATCATGGCCGCGCTTCTTCTTCTCCCGTTTGCTGAGAACTTCCTTTTCATGCCCTTTCCAAAGCTCGTGCAGTGACTCATACACAAGGCCATGCGCCTGCACGCCGTGCACGCTGACGGCCCGTCCCAGCTCCGCAGCTAGTTGCAGTTGTCTCTTCAAAACCTCTTTCTGGTGCGCAGCTTGGCATCGGAATGGCGTCAGGCGCCGCCCTTCTCTGCCTCCCGGTGTCAGCGTAGAGCTGCGTGTGGCCCAGAGATCGGGTGCCCAGGCTTCTGGTATGCGGAAGCTGCGGTCCAGACCAACTTCGCCGACAAGTGCGAATGGATGTTCTTCGAGATGTTTCCGTGTTTGTGAGAGGAAGACTGAGAACGGTGTGGGGTCCGGTAATGCGTTGAAGATGCGGAGATCTTCCTCGCTGAGTTCTGCTCTCGATGGTTGTAAGACTTTCTGATAGTGGTTAACCTTCGCTTCGCCGGTAAGAGTCTCTTGTTCCCGGTCATCGTCGTCTGAGATGTACATCTGATGCGAAAACCATGGATGCCATCCGAAGCATGGGACTATACATTCTGCTTCTGACCAATCGTTGGGATCCATAGACTTGATGCCGTACTGGGATGCTGTTCCGAGAACAAGATGTTGATCTTCCCCTCGTGTTGCCATGATGGTGAGGCATCGCGCTTTCATATCCTGGATCTTAGAGACGTTGGACATGATGTCGGTAGGATGGCAGTGGGCATCGTACACGCCGAGATGCCATGGAAAGGACTCACTATTCCCAGTACTTGGGGGCGTCATCCTTGACTCGAAATACACAATGGAAGGTAGCTTTGTGCAGAAGCAACGATTTCGAGTCTCGTAGAAAGCCACGATGATGCTTGGGATATGATGTGGTGTGGCTCTCTAGCGTGCCCCACTTTCGGTTGGAACTTGACTTGCACAAGGCAAATGCTCCGCATGATGGTCGCTCTTCGACGTACGCCTTGTTTTCCTTTCGATTGTACGGTAAATTTAACTCTGAATAAACGTGGCTCGAGTCTACTGTGAGTCCAATCATTGCGCAGTGCCGACTATGTGGAGAATCTGCATGTATTTACCCGGTCGAGGCTAGGTGGTCTCGATTCTCTACAACCGCAACCCTAGATAACTACATGATCTTCAGATCACTCCTCAAAGTAATGCATTGTCACAATCTTCCAGAATATTGCAGCGGCACTAGTTACCACTCAGAGATATAGGAACTGCAATTATCGACTTCTGATCCATCCTCCACCAAAGAGCCTACTGCCGAAACATTAGCCTAATGCAAATAGCTTATAATTAACCTTCAAGACTGAGCCACTTCTTTCAGGATTCTGCATAACAACTTCAGTCCCGAAGGCCTTCAAAGTCAATTCAACAAGATGACCGAAAAAACCTTTTCGCCCAAGGCCACACCCGGAGGCAAAATCCCCATGCGCGTCCTCGTCCTCGGGCTTCCACGCACCAACACAACATCACTGGTCAGCGCCCTGCGCACACTCGGCTACAGTCCCTACACAATGCGCACGCTCGTCACAACGCCCTCGCACATCAAAATTTGGCGCGAAGCAGTAGCTAGCACGCAACGCGCCTCCGGCCTTCCACTCTCCATCAACGACATCCTGACCTCGCACGACGCCATCGCCGACCTGCCGGGCTGCATGTTCGCCCCGCAGCTCATCGAGGCGTATCCATCCGCCAAGGTGATTCTGACTACTCGGCGCTACGAGGAGTGGCAGCGTAGTATGCGTGAGAGTCTCTGGGTGCTGTTCACGTGGCGGTTGTTTGAAGTTTGCCGGCTCACGGGATTGAGTCCGTTGGCGCCGTTGATCAGGCTCCTGCATGCGCTGTTTGGTGTGCACAACGGAAATCAGTACGAGGGGAATGAGACGAGGAGGGCGTTTGAAACGCATAACGAGAAGGTTAGGGCATTGGTCAGTCGGGAGAGGTTGTTAGAAATCGATGCTGAAGATGAGTGTGAGTGGAATGAGTTGTGCGGTTTCTTGGGGGTCGAGAGGCCGGAAGGCGTAGAATATCCGCGGTTAAAGGAGGAAACCGCTATGCGGGCGGGGTTGGAGCAGACGTGGTGGAGTATGGTCAGGTATTTATGTTTGATGGTTGTGTTGCCGGGGATTGTTCTCGTGGCGGGCGGGTCGCTGTACTTGTACATGGATGATCTGAGGAGCGCAAGAGATTTTTATGTAATCACGCCTTTGAAGGAATACCTGGATAAATAGATGAATGATAACAAGTCAGTCTGCGACCAAGACGGCTATTGCGACCCTATCTACTTTGATACTTTCTTCGATGTCTGGTTCTTCAACTCAGCCTCCCAGCTCTGTATGAAGCTGCTTGTGAGCGAGTACATCTCAGCCGTGAACGCACTTTCCGGATCCTCCATATGTTTGAGCCTGTACCCCTTATTCGCAAAGATCGTCGCCGGCTGCCACTCCTCAACTCTCGCATGACTAATTGCAGCAATGCGATACGCCTTAGCGTAGTAATCCGCAAGACCCTCTTCCTCCACAAGCTCAGCCAGCTGTGAGATTGCTTGAGCATTTTTGTGGGCTTGGCGCCTTGCTGATTTGGACTTGGGTACGTCGAGCGTCAACTGGGGCTCGAAGTCCATGAACGCCTTGCTGATCTCGAGGCGCCGCCGGTCGCTGGCGCGCTTGATGGCGAGATCGGCGGCGCAAGCGGAGCAGGTGCATTGGAAACCGTAGCGATTGAGGTGGTTTTGTCGCTGTTCATGCGTTGAGAGAAGACCGATGTATGAGACAAAAAATTCTTCGCCTTTCTTGATTGGCCTGCTTGCGTATACGACTCTCCTGTTCAGCTTCTTGGCCCAGTAGTAGCTTGTGTTCGGTCGGCAGGAGTGGTTGATTCTGGCAATTCTTGGGAAGAGACCGATTTGCTCGTCGGTGTTGTATGCGTTTGTTCTGAAGATGATGCCGAGCTTCTCCATAGTTGCCTCTTCGTCTGCGGTTGCGTGGTATGTCAGGGACATGACTTCAGCTTGTGCGTCTGCGGAGAGTGTCTCAAACTCCTTTCGAACGAGCTCTGTGACCTGGGCCATGGGATATCCAGAGCCCCTGACGTAGTCTGGCGGATTGATCTTTAGTATTGGTGCTTCTCGCATGACGATGTCGCCGATTTCAAGGTCATGCAGCGCAAAGACACCCAGCCCTTTGCCCTTGCTCGGCTCAACGACGTAGACGTCTGGAGGGCCTTGACAACTGTAGCTGCTGGACTGCCATGATGGAATACCGGACGCGTAGGGCACGGATGGAATGGGCAGTCTACATGTGCCGTGCGCGAACGCGCTTGCTGTGAGTGCCAGTAAGATTGAAGATTGTGTGAGAAACATCATGACGACAGATATAGAGGTTGGAGGTTGGGATCGCTACAACGGCCTACATCAGACCTCTTGTACATTTTGTTCAGTTGATACCTGCAGCTGTGTGAAACACGCTTCAGGCTGCTGCTGTCGCAGCATCCCCCATCGCGCGTCTGGCTGCCTCAGACACAGGGTAAGCTGACTCTCAAACTCCATCTCTGCGGCTAGGTTTGACAGCGGTGACGGCTTCTCTAGACGCAAGTGTGATGAATGACGACGTAGAAGTGGGCCGGAAACGTCTGTCTTATCCGCATTTTGGAGTGCCTAGCCGCGGAATGGGGCCGCAAATGCCGATGCCGCTCACATTCCCGAAGTCGCGTCCTGCACCAGAGACGCTCTCCAACTGCAGCTTGCCCCGCGCTATGGTGGGGCGAGCTCGCAGGGCATGCGAGAAGACGGGCAGGTCTAAAAGCTTTAATAACTGAGCTCGCTGCCCCTGTGAGTCACGTCAGTTGAGACAGACAGCCTGCAGAACCGAGAACAGCCAAGATGGTGTAGGTGATGCACAGAGAAGAGTGTCCCACGGCTGACAGCCGTCTAGATACACAGCATCATTCGCCTTCTTCGAGGCACTGTGGGACGCCGGCGTTCGCAATGTCTTCGTCAACCTGGGCTCCGACCATCCGTCTATTATCGAAGCTATTGTCAAGGGCCAGAAGGAGAAGAAGGGCCAGTTCCCAAAAATCGTCACGTGTCCGAACGAGGTAGGCGGCTTGCACCAGGACATGCACGCGTCGCGATGTATTGGACTGACGCGGACAGATGGTGGCGCTGTCCATGGCAGACGGCTATGCGCGATCCACCGGCAAGCCGCAATGCGTCATCGTCCACGTCGACGTCGGCACACAGGGCCTCGGAGCGGCTGTCCACAATGCCTCGTGTGGCAGAGCGCCGGTGCTCATCTTCGCCGGCCTGTCCCCGCACACAATCGAGGGCGAGATGCGCGGAAGCAGGACGGAATACATCCACTGGATACAGGACGTGCCGGACCAGAAGCAGATTGTCGCCCAGTACTGTCGATACACGGGCGAGATCAAGACGGGCAAGAACGTCAAACAGATGGTCAACCGCGCGCTATCCTTCGCCATGAGCGACCCCAAGGGCCCTGTCTACCTGTGTGGTGCGCGCGAGCCCATGGAGGAGGACCTCACGCCATACCAGCTGAACCTCGACTACTGGCGGCCCGTGGAGCCAGCAGCCCTCCCTCCGAGCGGCGTCAAGAACATTGCAGACGCCTTGGTCAACGCACAGGAGCCGCTTGTCATTGCTGGCTACACGGGCCGCAATCACGATGCCGTGCAAGAGCTGGTCCGTCTGGCAGACAATGTCAAGGGGCTACGCGTGCTCGACACCGGAGGCAGTGACATGTGTTTTCCGGCGAACCACCCAGCATGGCTCGGCCTCCGCTACGGCAATGATCCCAGCATCAAGACAGCCGACGTAATTCTAGTCGTCGACTGTGATGTACCTTGGATCAACACACAGTGTCATCCAAACGGCACAGCCAGCATCTTCCACGTCGACGTCGATCCCCTGAAGCAGCAGATGCCAGTCTTCTACCTGAACGCCATCCAGAGATATCGCGCTGATTCGTACACCTCCTTCTCCCAGCTGAACGAGTACCTGGAGACAAAGCTCAAGGACAAGCTGTCCAGTGAGCTTTTCACAACCCGCTGGTCGGCCCTCCAAGAGTCACACAAGAAGAAGCTCGAAGCCATCGCCAGCGAAGCAAAAGTTGACGACAACGGCCACTTCGCAACGCCCTACTTGTGCCAGCAACTCAAAGCCCTTTGTCCCAGCGACACCATCTGGGCCATCGAAGCCGTGACGCAAACTGGCTTCGTCGCCGACCAGATCCAGGCCACGCTCCCCGGGTCCTGGATCAACTGCGGTGGCGGCGGGCTCGGCTGGTCTGGCGGCGGCGCCCTAGGCATCAAGCTCGCGGCCGACACCGAAGGCAAGAAGCAGTTCGTCTGCCAGATCGTCGGCGATGGGACATATCTCTTCTCGGTTCCCTCGTCGGTATACTGGATCTCGCAGCGCTACAAGATCCCGGTCCTGACCATTGTGCTGAATAACAAGGGCTGGAACGCGCCGAGGAAGTCGTTGCTGCTCGTGCATCCTGACGGCGAGGGGAGCAAGGTTGATAATGTGGAGTTGAACATCAGTTTCGCGCCCACGCCGGATTACTCCGGAATCGCGAAGGCGGCGTCCGGTGGGGAGATCTGGGCAGGGCATGCGAGTACGGCGGAGGAGCTGAGCAAGCTGCTGCCGGAGGCGATCCAGAGTGTGCTTAGTGGGAAGTCGGCGGTGCTTGATGCGCATATTGGCGGGCCGGAGGGTAAGTATGTTGGTGGAAAGGGCAGACTAGGCTGAGCGTGATACCGTCTCATCAAGTCCAAACGTCAGTATAATACACTTTGCTCGCACATTATTGGCCTTCTTATTTTATGTTATCAATGCAGATTTCACCGTGTCTTAGGCTGAGCTGCTCTCAAATCTCTAGCCTATATGTACTGTCCAGAGACTGTCGAATTACGGAGGTCATGAAGACAAGCGCTGACTGACCCCAATTAGCCCATGGCTCTAGCTTTGCATAACATACTCAACTCGGTCGACACGGATTGTGCTTGGTGGATGCCTGCATCGAGCAAACCCGCACAGCCAGCACACGTTACCTGCTCCACAACCCTTAAACACCAACCACCCCGAGCAGCGAACAGCACAGTCCCTCTCTTGCTAAAAGATTGCACATGCTTCCGACATCCTCCGTCGTCAAGTGAAGCGCCGCTCAACGCCCTTCATCCTCCCACCACTCCAGCAGCACCACCAGGTCCTGCCCACCGATCAGCTGCTAGAGCCAGCCCCAGGACACGGCAGCGACCGGTAAAAACCCGTTCTGACGAAAATCCGGGGTGCAGTAGGCGCGGGCCAAGCCTTTCGGTTGCTCTCGCGATAGGCACGGGAGGCTTCGGAACAGCCCTGGTGGATCTGCGGGATACTCGCTCCGCTCGTCGCTCGTGAGTCAGCCCTACTGTGCCGCCGGACGCGCTTCCGATGGTGTATCGTGAGGTGCTGGTGTGCCGGATGAGCGGGGTACACAAGTTTAAGGGCGTTGGGTGACGCCATGGGTTGCTGACAGGGTTGTTTGTTTGCTGGTCATCTGTTGGTCAGTAGGGCGTCACGGCGGTTCACAGCAGCCGCGGGCAGAAACTTGAATTTTAGGTTGGATTGTAATCAAGAGTGTGTATGTAACTGTGCTGCGACCTGATTGTCAGGCCAAACGCCGTCCCAAGACCGTGTGTAGTCTGGATTTTGTGCCGCGTGTGGCTTCTCGGTCAAAAGGAACAATGTTGTAAGTCATAACGCCCGTGTACACTTGTCTGTTCCGTCAGGCAAATTGATGCATCCACTCCCTCGATGCCTCGTGCTGCGCACTTTGAGGTCCGTTCGCACTCCGAGTGTGATGGCTTAGCGCCTGTTAGTCAAGAACCAGCTCTTCACGCCCCGATCCTCAATCTCGCGGTGGCTACGCGGAGGGAGCGGCGCATGACAGGTGTTAAGCGCCAGAGGAGCGAAAGTCGCCTCGCTAACGCTTGGTGAACGGGCATCCTTTGCGGGTAGACTAGGTGGCGAGCCACCAACAGAGTCTGTGGCGGTGGAAGTCGACGCGACTGAGGAAACCGACTGGTGTCGGGGCATGCTGACGGACCGGTTGGAAAGAAACCCGTGAGCAGGCTGCTCGGGCAGCTGAGCGACGGCGGCGATGGATAGCTCGTTACTGCTGGTGCTGGAAGGGACATCGCCAGCGCGCTTGAGGGGCGTGTTGAGAGAGAGAAAGTTCTTGGGGAACGGGATGTGGTATTGGCCAGAAGTAGACATTGCGCCAGGGTGTTGGTTGTTGTGGTTATGTGTGGGTGTGGTTAATTGTGAGTTGGAAGTTGAGGAGAGGGGCAGTGGTTTGCTGAGAGAGAGCAAGGCAACCGGCGCGTTTATGTACGGGTGAGTGGGTTGTTGTGGGTTGTGATTGCCAATGGTCCGCTGGTCCCGTGGGTGAGAGAATTTGAGGCTAGTGCGTGTTGGAATTGGCTGTTGTGACTGGTTGAATGGATTGCGATAATTCGTTATCTGGAGAGGAATCTCCGGTGACTTTATACTGTACCTTGTGTGCCTAGTCAACTTGTGTAGCGAAGAGAATAGTGGAGAGGCTAGCTCTGCATGAAGGTACAAGTTTCCTCAAACAACGTGCAGCCTGGGGATGCAGCGCGGGATGTCACAGTTGCTTCCGCACTTGTGTTCATGGCTGTGAGCTTTGTGAGTACTGTCGATCCTAGGGATCCGGGCCGTAAGGGATGTTCCGGTGTAGAGGGTGGATAGTGTGCAGCAGATGGTAAACGCGGCTAGACTTGGCAGCAACGTGCTTAATCTAATGCGCGAGCTGCTTGTCGTACTTGCGCAGCGGCTAGTGTCTGAACAGGTCTTTTGAAGCTCTTAGCTGTGGGTTCTTGTATGGTCTGAGGCACGACTTGGTTCAATCGCCCTTGGCAAAGCTTTACGAGAGGTGCAAATTATTATCTTCGTGTTTTAGGCTGGCGAAGGCTGAAAAGCAACAAAGAGTTCCAGAAGGGTTTGGGATAGCTGCTTGTGGTTTCAATGTTTTGATCCTGTCTGAAGAACAACTGCTTGGCGGGGAAGTTTGGCGCGGCAGAGTGGAGACTCCTGATGCACAACGGAGAATTGACAGGAAGCCGAGGACGAGTCTAGAGCAGGGACACAGACGGGGAGGCGCGTTTTTGACAACGAGTCAGGGTTCGGCCTAAGGAAGTGGTGAAGATGCACAACAAGGTTTCCATCTCGAGGCTCAGATTTCCAACACCAAGCTTGAGGGAAAGACTCGTCCGGCTTACACAGAGAGAATCGGGATAAGATCGGGGCACAAATCTTGGAAACCCCACCTTCTTGACGGCTTTCGTGATCAGACACGGTCATTCGGCGCGCGAAAGCGGGTCAGAGTAAGTAAAACTACCACGTTCGTTCAGCGAGACAGTTCTATGGCGGGATGTTTCGACGAAAACGTCGTACGCGTTGCAAGGATATGACGTGAAAGCTGCACGTCTCTGAAGGTATTCTGTGATAGGTTCCAGCAAGGTGCTAATCACGATGGTCCCTCAACGTGCATAAGCCTCCTACTTGCAAATCCCACGACCAGAGGCCCATGTGAGCAACTTTTTGTTTTGGCTACAGCTCTTCTGGGGAGCTAGGCGGTGGTGGGAAGGCGCGTGCGTCGCGGTTCCGGGGGGTCATTTTGGCCGTAGGCGCGGATCCGCTGGCAATTCGCTACAAATGGTTACAAATGGAAGTGTAAGGCCGAAGTTAGCCTGGTGCACAAGATGATGAAATGCACGATCGTGCCATGGTGTGATTGAAGAGGAATGGACGAGCGGAGGGGTGAAATTGCAGCCAAAGAATCGGCGAAAGGTGCGAGTCTCGGCTCCTATTGCATCTTATCGCTGACGAGCAAGGTGACACCTTTCATGGCCAGCTTTTGTTTCATCATGACGACGCAGCGTCGTGCAGCGTACGACAGGCGACAGTAATACAATTTATCGACAAGCCATGGCATGCACGCTTTGACAAGCCGCTCCAAAGTCGTCACGACGGAATGCCTCCTCGCCTTGAGTTACGCGGTAAGTTTCGCATCCTTCAATCGTCAGTCTTTAGATTGGCGACGACGACACAATCCTTGGCTGCAACTCATACTTGCCTTGTCTCAACCTCGGTCCGCGTTCGTTTGACTGGCCGTTTCGAGGTGACGACCGATTGACGATCGCGGTACGTATACGAAGGGAAAGTATTTCTACAATGGCGTGGGCATATTTCGTTGCTTACTCGAGTCGAGGGCAGCATCAAAGTTGCGGAGACATCCGCATTGGATTCTGCCAGAGCTGACAGTATGACTCCTATACTGGGTACCTGATGCTCTAGCTTTGCGACTGGTCGGCAGGAGAACGCATGGGTTTGGCGCAGCGGTCAAGTAGGTATCCCTACTTCACGCTAAAGGCTCATCTGCTGGAGTTGCTCACAGCGTGGACCCGTTCATCTGCGTTCCTGCCTAATCACCGCGTAGGCCGAATGGGCGAGTTTACCGTGTAGATGCGTTGAATCGTACTTGCTGTCAGCTTCGCGATGCCCAGGTGGTGTTTTGCTGCAGGGAAAGGAAGCCATGTGGGTCTGCTCTGTCTTAGTACCATTCCCGTCCGGTGAAGCATTTGTTGAACGAACACCCCCATAGCGAACTCCATGTCTGTTAAGAGTCCTCGTGGCAGTCTTCTAGAGTTCTTCGTGGATTTTTAGCTCCGTGGAGAAGAAACACAGTTCGTCTTGTCGCGCCTGCCTCCGCGATCCATCCACGTGCTGCTGTTCGAACTTGAGGTTGCTCGAACGTCAGCCACGATCCTTCTGGCCTGACACCTTCCTCGCAGCTCGAAACAATGCTTGTGGCTTACCTTCGAAGCTTGCTGGGGCCGATGTTTACTAGCAGTCTTGACAGTTGCTGAGAGCACTTCGTTCTGAAGCTTACCAGAGCAGAATTCCTCAATCACGGGTCAATGGGTCGTCTAGCACTGGGCGGGACGCATGAGCACATCTCAACCTACATTGCGTCAGCTTAAGTCGCCTTGTCACAGATAATTACACAATATCATACTTTCCATCTGCACAGTGATTGTACCGACTCAAAGACATGATGACGCAACTGCTGACGATCTAGGGTAGTGCCGAACCACAACGCACTCCGCTGCATCGCAATGTCCCTAACACCATTTACCAAGCGCGACCTTCAGTATGACCGACGCCGCTTCACTTGAATGCCATCCACGAGTCTACCACGCTCTCAAAGCTCGAATGTCCGTTCAACCTGCTATACTCAGCCTCTTCTCGTTCCCTCTGTCTTTCATCTTTGCCAGGTGAAGGCCACAACGACCGACTGCTTCTACGCTATGTCTTCTGCGGCCCAGCATGTGCACAACTATCAGTTCATCTTCACCTCACCGGTGCCACCGCCTGTGCTGCTATTTGCTGCCTGCGCGCCAAGCCCATACGCTCTTTTGCAAGCAGTTAAAATCCGCCGTCACCTCGAATCTTGCCACGACACCTCCTCCTCCACACACTCCTTTTTGACCACACTCTCTTGACTGTCTTGCACTTGGACAACGATCACACGATAAACGACCAAATCTACCAAGACATACATTCAAAAACTCATCGCGACCAATGCCCGCACCACCGAAGGCTGGCAATCAACAAGCCAAGATGCAGGACATCAGGGCAGACGAAACCTGGGTAAGATTGTTCTCTCCACAAAAAGGCCTAGCCAGTCTTTGTCAGTTTCTGCTATTGCGCATTTCATTCAATCATGTCTCCATCGTATCTCAAGGTAACAACAAGACTGCTAACATAGCGGCAAACAGCTGCTGCCGTTCCTCCCCGACGAGCTCTTAGGCGAGATCGGAGCGTATATCGAGAAGCCAAAGGACTTCGTGAACTTCAGCTTTGCTAGCCACCGCTTCAGGAGAGCCACGATCCATGTCCAGGGCCAGCGCATCGACAACATCACTGTGTATCCGAGACTTGCCTGCATGAAAGCTCTTCTCGGAGCCGTTCAGGACGAGATGGCCGGAAAATACGTTCGCAACATCACGCTACTGGCAGAAGGCCTGAAAGAGCACGAGTTTGGCTACGACTGGGCTTGGGAGGACCTCCAGATCTGGGGTGGCCTCGAATTCTGTAACGAGGACGTCAAGATCATCAACATGATCAACGCTGCTCATTCTGATGACGTTATGGCGAATGGCGACTTCATCATCTCGGGTGAATACCGCACGATGCTCACCGCTGTTCTGCAGCGCCTTCCCAACCTCAGGACTATCACTTGTCGCAAGCTCGCCGCCGGTGAACAGATCCCTGGCTGGTCCGGCGTTAAGCTCTTTGAGAAGCTCTCTTTCTACTGCGATGGCCTTGATACACGCCATATCTTCTACGGCGACTGGATGTACGACACTCTGCACCGCCGCATCACCCACTACCGCGACGAGTTCGGCGACTTAATCTCTGAGCCCGACTGTGGCCCACAAGCCTCCTTCGTCGACGACCTGAAGGCTTCCATGAACAAGAGCGGCACCAAGGCTAAGGTCGTCTTTATGCCCGTCGCCAAGTACGAGTCCGCCTAGGACATCGTCACATCTCCGCCTCGGTACCAGACCTTTATGTCCACAGGTATCCATCGATGATACGCAAATTACACATTCTATCGGCGCTGAATCACTACAGATCACACACACAGTTGGGACGGGATTCTTCTGCAAGGCGTTCACGGAGTTGCTCATGAGTTGGGACCCAACTTTATTCTTCCATCAGAGGTAGGCCCACTCTGTCTCCAGGCCGCGCAGTCATTAACTCCGCAGTTGTCCCATGTTGCCCTCGATGGACTTTGCCCGGAAATGGGTTGTAATTGTAAACGAACGAAGGCCACTGCCTTCTTGATGGCCGCCGCACTGGCTTGATAATGCAAGACGAACACTTCATGAACTTTCACAATCAATGACCATCTTACTGTGAGATCCCTCTGGAGGATTTTTGGCGCCCCGTTTGGTGAGACGTCGTGTCGTGTCAACCGGTCTAGCCACCTGTTTTCTGGATTATGATCAATCTCACGGTATTTAACAAGGTTGTAGACCGCATAACTGTGGGTCATAGTGTGACGTTTACTTTAGTCACTGGAGAGGGCTTTGATGCATTGCATACATGAGAGGTAAGGCTCTCATAACTTCGGCAACAAGTTGAGAGCAAAGCACCAGCTGGCCAGACGTTTCGATGGGAATGCGTACCCAGGCCGGGAGGAGGATCAGAAGTGACGGCGTTACAAGAGGCTGCTTAATAAATTCGGTGTGCGCACAGAGGGCCAGATTAGTACAAGCATAGAGACCCATGGCTTATTGTTCAGTGACCCTGTCCTAGACAGTTGGACATCTGGCAAGTAACCACTCGATTTCAGAAGTCTTGCTGTGTGCTATCAAGCCACGATGAACGTACGGCGCAAAACTGATGTGACCTCGCGCGGCCTGCACTCGATAGCTCTGCAGGCCAATCATCCCTGGCTTGTACATAGGATACAGTCACGACTTCAACCGAGTTCTTCGAAGCGGTGCACTCCCACTGCCGTTCAAAGCAAAATGTATCAATGCAGAAGTACTCGTTCTTGACTCTCCATATGAAAAGCAGCTTGCACACTGTTCGTCCCTTGTTTCCTCACATAGCGTCTTGGTTCTCTGGGCGCACCCATCAGCCTTCCCGCATGACAGCCCAATGGCCCGTCCAGGCCTCACTCAACCTCAAGACCCCGTATCCTAGGAAATCGGCAGCCAGGGAGCCACCTCAGCCGCCCCAGTCCCCAGGCTCAGTGATCTCGTCGCTCTCGGCTTTCCACGCTTGCCTCGCTCGGCGGCGGCGTACCTGACGATGTCTCACTGAAATCCTCCTGTTGGTACGTTGTCTGCCTGCGCGCCTTGGTTGAGTTTTTTGGAAGGATGTGGCTGCGTTTGCGGGGGCCCGGGTTTTGATGCTGGGGGCCGTCTTTGGTATCGATGGGAGAGATTGAGAATTCGCATGAGTGTGGAATGAATTGGATGTCTTCGTGGTGCCTGAGAAGGTTAAGTAGGTGGCCCAAAAGGGCGTCGCATCGATGTGCATTGGAGTGTGCGCAATTGCACCGAGTATCTTAGCAGTACTTCGCCCACAATCCAAGGCGTGTACTAAAGAGAAGTGCTTTCCCCTCGAGACGAGTTTGAGTCGTTTTATGACGGTTTGGTATTCAATTGCATGCGTCCTGATGCTCCTCCTGCTCACTATTCGCACGAGGAGTGGTGCGGATGATGTCATATTGATGTGCTGGTGCAAATCTGCAGGGATGTACTTGATTCGTCGTGCTATCGATTGATTACGTAGGTGATAGATGGTAGTAATAGCTGTCCCTCACCGATTCGTTCAGGCCGGAACGCTCGTCACTCAGCAGACATAAAGAGAAACGACAAAGTCATGTGTGAACATGTGAACGATAAAGAGAGACTATACCGTACAAGACCTCCCCCGGGGTTTCCTAGATCCAATCCTGATATGTACGGGGCAGATGCCTCATGCTCCACGTACCCAACTTTTGCTTCCACACTTGATTGTTGAACAGGACAAATAGAACACAACTCGAAATAAGACAGCAAAGGACAACAAGGCTGGCTGACTGGCGAACAGACGGCGAGCGAGACGGGAAAGCTTGGTATGACAGACAGTCCAACTCCAACTGAACAAGGGCTGGGGGTAATAATATACGCGGTCGCGTGTCAAAGTAAACGAGTAACAAATCCTCAGGGAATCTTCAAACGCCGATTAACTCCAATGCTGCTGCGCTCTGTGAATAGCTAGAGGCAATGATATCTCCAGATCCTGATGTCGTGGCCGAATTGAGAATGATGGGTTTCGTGCATGGCGCGATCGGAGCGGTGATCGTAAAGAGGGCTCGTGTATTATATAGTATGAGGGCGCAGTATGCACAGCGGTCGACGTGTGGCGCCAGAAACGGAGGGAGGCGTGGGAGGACGGCGCTATAATATGCCGGAGTCTTTCAGGGCGTTTTGCAGGATTGTTTCCTTGACGGCGGCGAAGACGAGTCGGATGTTGGAGGTATCGGTGGCCTGCGTGAGACTGGAAAGATCAGTGACGGTCGTGTACAACGTTGTGCATACGTGACTCACTGAGGATATAGGTTGAGGTGCGCGCGGTTGACTTGATTGAACCGCCAAAGGAGATACTTCGCAGCACGATTGACATCGTTACCGCCGGAGTAGTCGGGGAAGTAGTTGCCCAGTGGTGACCTTGCAAGCTTTGCCTTGAACAGATCAACCTTGTTGAGAAACAGGATAATTGACGTCCGCATGAACCATCGGCTGTTGACTACCGAGTCGAAGAGAACTAGACTTTCCATCATTCGGTTCTGGTCCACGAGTCAGTGGCTGAATCAGTGAGTCAATTAGTGCCCGTACCTGTGAGCTCTCTTCTAACAACACTTGATCGTATTCGCTGAGTGCAACGCAGAAGATGATAGATGTGACGTTTTCGAAACAGTGTATCCATTTCTTGCGCTCGCTTCTTTGCCCTCCAACATCAAACATGCTGTTTCAAGTTAGCCGAAGTGCCTCAGTATCCGCAAGAGGCCACATACTGGATGCTCAATTGGCCCATTGTAAATCTTGTTTCGTAGATACCGGTGGTCTTGGTCCTTGCTCGCAGGACGTCAGACTCGATGGGAATGTAGTTGGGATCTGATATCCGCTCGACCTCCTCAAAGAAGCTGGCCGCGTTAGTGATGCAATGTGGACGGCGATGTAGACCAAACGTACTATGGCGCCGAGTCCATCAGGTAGAACTCGCTCGAGTGCTCGAGCACTTTGCCTATGCAGCCGTCACGCCACAATGACGTGATGGCCTGGCCGACTCGCAGGTCCAGCGGCTTCTCTGGGTCCGGGTCGACGGTGTACTCGACCAGGTAATTGCAGTACTCGTCGTTGCCGGGTATCTCTGGGTCGATCTCGAACTGCCGCATGGCGCCAATGAGGGCCTTTGCGCAGTCGATGACGTTCTTGTATATCGTCAGGCGGTACATGGCAAGTTCCTCTTGTGTGTAGCCGTTCTGATGGATGATCTTCATCTGCTTGACAATGGTCGACTTGCCGCTTTCGCCAGAGCCTGCGCTTGTGTTAGCCTTCCATCTCGTGTGCGGGCGCTGGCGCTCAGGTGCGTACCCAGCAGCAGGATCTTGCATTCCCGCCGCAGCCGGCGCGAGTCCTCCTCGAGCTTGCGGTCAATGGCCTGGCTGCGCTTCTTCTGCTCGCCATCCTCGGGGCTGGAGCTCATGCAGATGCCCATCGTGTGTGGTGGTCGTGGCGGCGCGCGGCCGCAGGATGTTGGAGGAGGTCGAGAGGGTGCAATGAGGCGGCACTAGGCCCGGCGCGTCGTCGCAAGGGATTCGGCTGCAGGCGTTGCTCCGGCGGCGAGACAGCGTCTCAGTGCTGGAATCGGCGTGGCAGGCGGAGATGGGGATCGGGGGTCTTGAATGCTTCCGTCAGGGCGGTCCGGGCGACAACGCAGCGGTGCTGCGGGGCTGGCGACGGGTGCAGGGACAGCGAGGGCCGCCGGCAGGAGTGCAGCAGCTGGCGAGGGCGGCGGCGGTGCAGGCGGAGGTGCGAGGCGGGCGTCGACAGCGTGGTTGATGTCGTAGACTCGTGGTGCAGCTCGCGCCGGGGAAGAAGCCCGTGCGGGAAGGCGCCTTGTTCGTCTCGAACTCAGCAACGCAGCTACGCAGCAACGCAGCGGGAAGACGGCGCGCGCGGAGGAGCGGCTACAGAGCCTGCGGATTGCGGCGAGGGCGAGGGCGGCCTGCGGAGATGATGGCTGCACAGCGCGGATCGTGCAGGAGCGGCCGTCGTCGTCGTCGTCTGATCGTCGTCGTCGAGGGGATGGATGGGCGGAGGCTGCGCGGGTACAAGCTCCCTCACTGCAGGCGTTGAACTAAGCCCCAGGCCAATTGCTTCCAGCACTTCAGCTCTCTAGCGCTCTAGCAAATCTGGCAGCCGTGCAATGCGCATCGACAGGCAATCGGCGGGAGAGCGGCACGGGCCAGCAATATCCAGCAGCAGCAGAGAGCAGCGCGGAGGTAGGCGGCAAGTGTTTGCGGACGGGGTGCGTTGGGCCAGCGGAGCTGATGATGCGCTCTGGACGAGCTCGCCCGCAGTGGCTTACTCTCGCGCGCCGCTACCGTACTATTGGCAGACCACTCTGAGCGCCAGAAATGACCTCGGATTAGAGACCCGCTGCAGATATGCCTTTCAATGCCTCGCCCGTCTGCATGCACTGGCCCCAAAGGATGCACCGTGTTCGCTGCGACATACGCGACTGCGTCTCCCTATTACGACCCAGTGCCCACATGGCCGGCCTGCGCGTGTCGCCGCGGCACGCTGCCTGCCGTCCTTAGCTGAACGACTGATTTGGGCCTCTTTGATCTGAACGCCGTGAACCCCAGCTAGTGCCCGGCATAACTCAGATCATTATCTCGACTCTCGACGCAGCCAGGGCGAGACTCTGGAGGCTCGTCGGTGCGCTGCAGCGAGCTCCTGTTGATGTCGAGCTAGGGCCGAGTCTGGAGTCCGCGTGCATCTAATTAAAGGTCCGCAAGCAGCTTCACCAAACAGGGCCTCCAATCTCAAACGCCCTGCCTTCCAATCGTGTTCCAAGGGAGCCTTCACGGCAGAATTGTGACTACCTAAAGCGCCAGAGTTTACTGTCTGTCTGTAGCTGCCCTCTAGCATCGAGCAGATACCCACTTGCATTGAACATCTCACATAGCTACATAGAGGGTGCGCTTCCACATATCGGAGCCCGCAGCGCTTGACATCTGCACGCCACTTTCAAACTCACCTCCTCCGTGGTACCCACCTTAGTGCGCTACACGGCAGACACAGATTGCGCTCAAACCTTCAAATCTCCATGTGCACCCCCAGATCTGTCATCTGTTGCCACGTTATTGATCTCCGCTCGACTCCCGCGACGCTGCACGGTCGCTCAAGGCGACATTGCTCGACACAAGGCTCGACACAACACCCCTCTTGCAACACATGACACGAGCTGTTTCCAAATGAACCTAAAGAGCAGCATCTGCCGTCCTGTTGTCGCACCTGTCTGGCGTTCGGGTGCGTTATGTGTGTCTATTGCATAAAGCGTGGTGGTCTCTAGATTCGGCTGTGTGCGATGCACTCTTTGGCACTGCCAGCAAACCACGACTCCAATTGTGCACGTATATCGATGCTTCGACTGTTCATAGTCAGGGGTCTGCACGCTGTGGGCAGTGTGATACGGATGCAACGACAACCGCAGGTCTGCCGAGATTCGAAGTCACTGTACAGACCTGTGAGCTTCCTGTCGATTGTAGCTGCTAGAGGAAAGACGCACTTCTGAAGAGACCAGACTGTGACTCGGTCTGCTTTGACGACCTGCAGTCACGATCTTCGAAGTTGAACTCTAGGCGCATCGCAAACATCTGCATCGTTTCCTGTACTTCCCTCATCTACAATCTCATATCTTGAGGGCGCAGTCGATCTCAACGAATGTTGCTGCCGAGTCAGTTGATCTTCGTCAGCCCTCAATCGTGATCAAAGACCAGTGATCGCGCAAGGGGTGCTTGCATAGGTATCGTGATTATTGGCAGTTCTTGATCGCAACAACTGCTTCCGATGGAGCGGTGGCTTTTGCACTCTGGACATTCCGAAAGCCTGCCTGCCTGAACTTAGCTTGCCGTGTGCCGGTAAGTGCTCAACGACACTCGATAGTGGCGGCGCTGACCCAGTGCAGGTATAGCGTCGATTTCGGTTTCCTCGGAAGCACTTTTCCACTTCTTTTGCTTAGATAGAGAGGCATTGCATTGTCGGCGCTTTGATTTGCTGGATTTTTACATGATTTACGCGTGTTGCAGCTTCGACGAGCAAGATGGGTCAACATCAATCAGGAACATGTTCACCGCAAAAGGGCCGTCGACAGAGAGCAACAAGTTTGGTGGATCATCGTAGATGTGAAGTGCGCTAGTTGTGGGAACGGAAGGCGCAAATGAGACTGGACCACGAAGAAGTTGGGCAGACCGCGAGGGAACAAGAACATGAATCAGCTGCAACCCGTGTGGAGGGGCTTATTGAAGGGTGGAAATAAAATAGCATCATTACTAGAACTCGTGAGCTGGCGATGCACCTGGGCAGGCAGGGCTGCAAATCATGAGATTACTCTGTTGCAGATTGGGTGCTGTCTTCCATGGAATTTCTCAATTTACGATAGTGACGTAGCCGCCCCTCTAGCCCGATGCCTGTCGGTGCACGCTGCCAGGGCAGGCAGCCCCGTGAATGGCCTTGCACACCGCGTTATTCTCTGCCCCTCGTTCCTCTGTCCTCCGCAAGTGTTTACTTAAAGTAGGTGTGTCCCCCTGACCTGGCAGTGATCATCACTCCGCGACTCTGTCACTCGTCGAGTCTTGATCTTGACCCGCGCTGTCCTGTGTTGCTTGTCTCGGCCTATCTGTTTCTCCCTAGCGAGTGCGTTCCTTGCAACTACCAGCCAGCGACACACTGAGCAGTGCTAAATAATCTCTCTGCAGACTTTGCACCGACACTCGCAGGCTTGAATTCTCCCAGTTGTGCAGCAGCTTAGTCAAACGGTTCTACGGAAGACTCCACCAATCCAGTAGACGAACGCAGCCCTGTCTTGGTCTCGTCCGCACTGCAAACCTGCTAGACGCTACACTCCGACCACACCAACACCACCTTTGCCTCTCCGGATTCCCTCCTACTCGCGCCTGTCGCAGAACCTATACGACTATAATCCACCATGGCTGAATTTGTGCGCGCCCAGATCTTCGGCACGACGTTCGAGATCACAAGCAGGTGCGGCGCCTACCCCACATTGCGTGGGAGCGCATAGTTGACAACTTGCAGATACACTGATCTGCAACCTGTGGGCATGGGAGCCTTCGGTCTCGTCTGGTACGTCTGTATGTAGCCAGACACGGGTCCACACGCTGATTGAAAATGCAGCTCGGCGAAGGATCAACTCACCAGCCAGGCCGTGGCGATCAAGAAGATCATGAAGCCCTTCAGCACCCCGGTCCTCTCGAAGCGCACTTACCGCGAGTTGAAGCTGCTCAAGCACCTGAGGCACGAGAACGTACGGACAATACCCCATAGTGCGCGCTGAACGGGTTCTGACGATACACCAGATTATCAGTTTGAGCGATATCTTCATCTCCCCATTGGAAGACATGTACGTTACACATGCAGTCCTTGCTGTAATGCCTGCTGACCTTCTAGCTACTTCGTCACCGAGCTCCTCGGAACCGATCTTCACCGCCTGCTCACCTCCAGGCCGCTGGAGAAGCAGTTCATCCAATACTTCCTTTACCAGATCCTGGTAAGTGGCGAACATCCAGCGTTCAGGACACTTGACTGATTTGGACAGCGTGGATTGAAATATGTCCACTCCGCTGGTGTCGTCCACCGTGACTTGAAGCCCAGCAACATCCTCGTAAACGAGAACTGCGATCTGAAAATCTGCGATTTCGGCTTGGCCCGTATACAAGACCCTCAGATGACCGGATACGTTTCGACCCGCTACTACCGCGCACCAGAGATCATGCTTACATGGCAAAAATACGACGTTGAAGTCGACATCTGGAGTGCGGGCTGCATCTTCGCTGAAATGCTTGAGGGCAAGCCTTTGTTCCCAGGAAAGGACCACGTCAATCAGTTCTCAATCATTACAGAACTCCTGGGTACTCCTCCGGATGATGTTATCCAGACTATCTGCAGTGAGAACGTGGGTCAATCCCACTACGGTCAAAGACATGTGAACTAACCCTAGCCAGACACTGCGATTTGTACAGTCCCTGCCCAAGCGCGAGCGCCAGCCTTTGGCCAACAAGTTCAGGAATGCTGAAGCAGAGGGTCAGTCACCTTTCGTCGTCTGCTATTAAATAATACTGACTAGCTGTAGCCATTGACCTGCTCGAAAGCATGCTGGTCTTCGATCCCAGGAAACGTGTCAAGGCAACAGAGGCTCTTGCTCACCCATATCTTGCCCCCTACCACGACCCCACCGATGAGCCGAGCGCAGACGAGAAGTTTGATTGGTCGTTCAACGACGCTGACCTCCCCGTTGACACATGGAAGATTATGATGTGAGTGTCTTTGGTGTCTGACTTTGACACCGATCACTAACACATATAGGTACTCGGAGATTCTCGATTATCACAACGTTGATGCCGCTGCACAGGAAGAGCAGAACGACAGCTGAGATACCCAAGAGACTTGAAAGCGGGACCTACACCGTGCTTGTATAGCATGATCCACTTCTTTGAGAAGAAGGCTGCTTCGTTCAAAATTGGTGTCGCGACCTGCCTCCCACCGGCGGATCGTTGTCCTTTCTCTTTATATTCTTCATTCCATGAGGTCTTTGCAACTACAAGCGCGGTAGAAGGAGAAGTAATTGGTGTTCCTGGATTCAAGTATCATGTACAGGCGTGGTGATGGGGATGAATGATTGGTCATGGTGAAGTAACGAGTAGTAGCAGGAAGGCATTTTCTCGGGCTCGATGTCCTTCCTCCTCTCATGTTCGATCTCGGAGAGTAGAAGAATAACTTACGACTTTAAATACCCCAGTCATGCTTGATGTGGCTGATGTCTACGTTACCCTGTAGTCCAGGAGACTAGGGGTGCCCAGCTTCCATCTCTGAAAACATTTTGGGCCTCCAATCACGGCCTTCACAACACCTAGCTCACTTCACAACACCTAGCTCACCCAGACAAACATACCCGTATCCCGGACCACCGATGTGCATTGAACGGCATGATCTACGGTCCGTCACGCCTCAGGGCTTTTGCCGAGGCGGCTCTTTGCGGTCTAGTTCCACAAGGCTGAGGATCCATCGTCACGGCCAACACCTCCGCGTCCCGCACTTTTGAAGGACGCGAGCCTGACGAATAGCTACCACTCGACATAACCCAGCTCTCACATATTTCGAATGACGGTACTATGGCGGCCTTGACCTCCTCGACTGCGCTCGCCCCGCTTGTCTGCATTATCGACTTTCATCACGCGAGGGGTCCTGAAGTTGAAGCTTGGATCAGTCTCGAGGATGGCGAGGATCCGGCGATCGAGCATGACTGGCCGCTACTGCCTTTCATGGCCTTGAGTGACGGTGCGCACGCGTGAGTACCTGTAGAACAAGCCATCATTGCGACTCATCAAGCTCATACCTCCACCTCGCGTTCACATGCTTCTCAGTATTACACTAACAATGACTGACATCACTCAGCTCTATAGAAGACTACTCGTACTTCACACTTCGCCGCTCGGCTACGCCCACCCATGGCGCGACCAGTCTATTTGGCATATCATGCACACGGCAACTGCCAGCGAGCGAATTAATCGACCGACCCGCCGATGTTACAAGGAGCACGGTACAAAAAGCGGTAGTAGTCATTACGGACAGCCCACAGCACTTTGGTGCGATTAAAGCACAATTGGGGGTTGTCACGGCGGCTTGGTTTGCGCAGAGGTACGTCATACTGGTAATACACGTGGCATTTCAACAAGGCCAAGACTACATTAGCCTCTCGCTGACCTCCGCGTAGAGACTTCACAGACGTCGAGATACTGCAGAGATTCCATGAGAGTCTGCCAAGGTTGCTGGAAAATCAAGAGGGTCAGGCCGAACATTACTTTGGCATCTCTCTACGCGAGCTTATTCACGAGTTTAAATGGCAGACTCTTGTTCTCTTCAAATGCGCTTTACTCCAACGCAAGGTGCGTAGATCTTACCAATGCACAAGCAGACGAGTCCATGGTCGAACGAATCTTAAGCCTGAACAGCACTGACAAACACCCAGGTTCTTTTCTTCGGCTCTCATTGCGAACGGTTATGCATGATGCAATTTGCTCTCATTTCTTTGATACCCGGCCTTATGCGCCACCTCCAGGACTCTGCGGACCCCAAGTTCAACTCGGCTGAAGAGAAGATTGTTATGCCTACGAGCCTCAAGACATCTGAGCGTTCGTCATGTTAGTTTCTCAATTTGTATCAACCTGCGCCATGCTGACCATCTTTAGTACTTGCATATATGGGCCTTCCTCTGCAATTATTCGGAAAAGGCTCGCTTTTCGGCCCCTACACACCACTCCAGCAGCTTGATATGCTTGCTGACGCAGACACGAAATCATACATCGTTGGATCGACAAATTCGCTTCTACTGCAGCAGAAAGATCGCTACAGCGACATACTCATCAACCTCGATGACCACACTGTGAATACCACTTCGTCCTCGCTGCGTCAGGCATCGATACTCTCGACACCAGATCGGCGATGGATAGACTTCCTGACCCAGACCGTGAACGACTCATGGGACGAGTCAAATCCAGCCCGGCCGAAGGATCACGGCTACGCTGGTAGTGAGGAATTCATCCGCATGCAGTTCGAGGAATACCTGCTTGCCATGCTGAGCTCAGTCAAGTACAAGCTCTACATGGAGAAGCATCCAAGCCACGAGCCGCTCATGCCCGAGGTTCACGGTGATCCAGCAAGCGAGTTCTCGAACGATTGGGTACATGCATGGATGCACACGGAGAACTTCCGGATATGGAATAAGTTCACCGACTCGCACCTTTTCGACATCATTGACCCCAAACATCCCTGCTCTGGAGGTCTTTCGGTCGAGGATATTCAAAGAAGACTAGCAGCGTAAGTTCTGTCTTTCCGTTCTCTTCCTCATAACGCACAACTAAGCGTCTCAGTCTGTTCTCCAACACTACCTTTCAGATTGTGACCATGGGTGTCTGTGTGCTAATTTTAGCGTGGCGTATAGGCAAGTAGCGGAGCTACATCTTGATGAACGGCTCGAGAAGTCAAGAGAGGTCATTGGAGAACGGGTCGCTGCCGGTCAAGCAAAGGTCTCAACAGCATACAACAAATTGTGGGCAGACATAGAAGCCATGCGCAAAGCCCAGAGAGATCGACAAGAAGAACAAAGAGCTGCAGCCGAAAAGCTGCGGCTCGAACAAGAGGCTGAGAGCAAGGTACCAGACCCAACGAACAAGTGTACGTATACCCTCACATGCACGGCGGCTCTCGCAATGTGGCTAATGGGCCACCAGGGAAAGCACAGGCACCTGACATGACCAACGCGCGCGCCAATGCAGGCGCCTATTTCTCCTCGTGGGGCTCATGGGCCAGCGAGAAGCGCAAGGGTTGGGGCAATCGCAGTACGTCCGCAAATCAAACACCGGCCACTTTACCCCAGTCAAACGTAGACCCGTCACCTGGTGATCTGAAGAGAGCAGAAGGATTTAAGAGGGACAAAGACCCGAGTTTGGATGGGTGGACATTGCACGCCCCAAGTGTTAGCTCTGGGCACAGGAGAATAGCGAGTTACGACGAGACGACCGATGGAGAGAAGCGGAACAGCGGAGTTGTATTCTTCGACGCTGAAGTCGCGGAGACGGAAAGGAATGTGTGGAGAGCGGCTTGATAGCGGAAGAGACAGAGTCGCAATTTTGCAGAGCATTTGGATGAAAGTGTATATCCATCTCGTCCTCGACAATACTCCTTCACGACAAGAAGTCGATGTACAATTTTGAACGCTTTGGTATGTATCCTGCCACACATCGCCGGTCTAGCCCGAAAATAATTCATTGAGAGGCCCGTTGCTATGGAGCGACCGCATGCTACATTTGGCGAAGGTTCGATAGTATCGACCGGTCTGGAGGTGCCAAGTGATCCAACCCGCACGCTCATGTTCGTACCATGCTTCACTGTCTGTCCCAGTTGCGCACGAAAGATGCAGCTTGGAAATCGACGCCGATAGTGGCAATCAAGCCGGACGGCCTTGATGAAAGCTTAAGCCACATCGTCTCGCACTCGCCTAGGTGACTTGTGCTAACGCCCTCGAAGTCTGTATACTTTACGTCACCCGCGCATTGATAGCTTTCCAGCATCCGATATCTATGCAGGCGGGAAACTGGGCTATTAGGTTTGAGCTCATTTGAAATGGACAAAGGGCATTTCTTTGTTCCATGCAAAGCATATGACTGCACCAATCTGTGTACCATCAAAACTTTAGTATTAAGCTCTCTATACTTGCAGCCGAGCTTGAAGACGTCTTGGCGAAGGTCGGCGAGAATACCAGCCCTGGTGCTTTGCAAGAACTGAACATCAGCCTGACGCTTGACAGTACATTTCTTGTCTCGCCGATGGCCACTCCTCGCCCATGAACACTACATCAACATGTTTAAACAGAGTTTCGATTCAACTTGTAGTGTCCGTGTGTGTCTCGGTGAAAGACCACCACGGTAGGAACCGTATAGGTAGTTTCGATTATCAGTCGCGGTTGGTTCACGCACTAGGAACGCGAAGTGGGCGCCTTCGCCGGAGTCGCAACACAAGCAACAATTCTCCACGCCGTCATTAGAATTATCTTTCCGTGGGCGTGAACACAAAAGATGGTAGAGAGATGCCGAAATCGGGTTTGCCAACACTCACGAACTATCCCTGGTATCTAATTTTCGAAACTTGATATCTAGTCTTATTTTGCAAACGTGTGGCAGTCCGCAGGCGGGTCATATGGCTTGGTCCATTGCGTCGCTTGCTTACCACATCCTCCTTCAAGGAGCAGAGAAGCAACTCGAACGAGGTCACCCAGCTTCTGGGACTGATGATGATCTGTTCTACGATCTGCTTTGAGAGAGGTAGAAATTCGGTCTCAATTCGTTCATGAGCCATGAACACAACTGGAGCATACGTTGGAGTCCGGTGTGTATTAACAGCGAGTTCGACTTTATGCTTGAGTCTATGACTATTCGCGTGCGGTTTCTTATTTGCCTCCCATCCATTCACTTGAGAAAAACATGGAAGAAGCAAGACTTGGTATCTTCTTGAGTCCATGACTGTCTGCACAGTCGTCTTCTGTGAAGATGGAGAAGTGTATGGCTGTAGAAGAGACGGAAACAGAAGGTTAGAGTGGGTCTGAATCTTTACAAGGTAGCGATGGCAACGGTTTATTCGAACATGCAACCTCGTAAGAGTGAGTTCCATGCTTCACCTAGTGACTACAGTGCGTTCAATTTACTCCAGGTTCCGCCTTCTTGTTTGACTCTTGCTTGTGTACGGACAGCTTGTCAGGCCATGATGGTCTGATCTACAGGAATGAGAACGCCAGCTGTGGTGACCAAGCGAAGCAGTACGATGATGTATGTATCTATCAGGATGCTCCGTTTTGGTGGCGGCGCTCGCGAAAGCAGTGCAGGTCATGGTGATTGTGCACGAGATGGTCGGGCTCAGTGACCCATGATAGAATGGAGCGGCCCAATAAGCGCAGCTGTCGACGATGATAAGGTGCAATGTAACAGCGGAGGCAGTAATATAGGGAGATGATTGACAGAGAATTTTGGTGTTTAGAGTACAAGTGTGATGATGCGTAGGCTTTTGCGTGAGCGTGTGGAGATGAAGGACTATATATTTCAGTACGTTGCTTTGTGGTCCGTGGATATGTTTTCGCATGGTCCCTGTCATCATGCTGAAGAGATTCAGAGAACGCCCATTCGCATCTCGTCCTAGGGGGCATAACGACCAAGCGTTAGGACTGCATACTGAACCTTAAGCTAGTGACTGCTGCTGCGATGTAAGGATGTTGCTTGCAGTACGTGAGTCATATCCGAGCTGGAGTATGTTAGCTCTTGCAGGAAACTGACCTGCTTGTAACAAGCGAGTTCAGTCATCGAGCGTGAGACAGTTGGACATGCAAGCCAGCGGGCCGAGTGTCTGCTCGGACTCCTGCCCAGGCCGCGCACAGGCCTGACGGCAACTCACAGGCTGACCGCTCGGCTCGAGCAATTGTCCGAGATGGCACGGTTCATTGCGAATTCTCGAGGGACGGCAAGCCTCAATTGCGCAGCTTATGAGGACTGCAGCTTGTACCGTTGATGCCAATAACCCAGCGGCCTGCGCTCGCCAGAGAATATCGATTTGCAACGCTCTGCCTAGATCACATAAGGCTAGCCAGGTCGAGGTCAGTCAGCTTGTATCAAGCAGGAGAGGCCTTTAGTATGGAGTTGCGTGATGGCTTCAACCTGCCGCGGTGATCTCGCTGAGACGTGCGTAGTGAGCAGACTGTGCAGACCGGTCAGCCGCGCTATGTTACAAAAGCTCGGAGTGAAGCCCCGAGTTGCGTGTTGCCACAGGAGTTGAACACCCTGATTGGTTGCAATTCTTTTCTAGGGACGACAACTAGTGTCAAGAGTGCGTCGAAGACCTGATGAAAGGCGACTGCCTGCCATCTAAAGTGTCGAAAGGGAGAACGTGAAGGGAAAAGCGCGGGATTTGGACTCAAATATGCTTAAAGATAAATATTAGAGGGAGAACATCGTTGGTATCATTGGATCGTATGTCGCAGTGTGTCCTTACTTTGCACTCGCGTTCTCTTGCTGTCAGGTCCTTTCAATCATCACACATCGCTCGTACCGTGCCTTGCTCCAACGCCGTAGGATAACGACGGTGACCAATAGTGATCCTGTTCGGCATGCTTTTGTGTTGTGTCGGTTGCCAAGCGCGATGAACGTGGCTCTAGTCGTAGTGCGTGAACAGCTGCGACATGCTCTCTCCATGGTGATTTCTTCGAATCGACTCAGCGAGCAAGTTATCGACGTTGAGAATTACAAGCTTGTCGCCAGCCTGTTCCCTCTTGTGCTCTGGGATAGGAAAAGCATTGGTGATGATGATCTTCTCGATGCACTCGCAGTTGTTCATTTCCTCGAGACAGTCGCCGCCAAACAGGCCATGCGTGGCCATGCAGTAGACCTTGGTAGCACCACCACGCTTTACGACAGTCTCAGCTGCGGCGATCCAGGAGGCTGACTTGTCCATCATGTCGTCCACGATGAACACCGGTCTATCCTTAACGTTGCCGACAAGTGTGACCATTGTCTCGATCTCCGGATTCTGAAGGTCTTCCTCCTCGTCTTCTGACGAGGCTGCTGCATCATAGGTACCACCGAGGGCATGACCGTGCTCATTGTCCAGATTCTCCCTTCTCGAGGAAGTCGTTGACATGAAAGAGTTCATCATGTGCGCAGGAACATCTTCGTTCTCGCCTTCGGACGGGGGCCGGTTGCGCCAGGAGGTAGTATGCGATGTAGCAGACATAGAGGGCGAAGGATGTGTATCGTCGACAATGTGACCCTGCACGAGGCGTCCGTGGATGACATTGCGCGCACGCTACACTTGTTAGTACTACCATCAAAGTTCGAGTGCATCAGATATACCTCGTCAGTGTATTCTTCCTCGTCAACCTCGGAACCATCTTCATTCTCGCTCTGTTGACTGTGTGTCTCTGCCGACTTGTTCGAAGCCTCAGTTCGGACGGGCTCGAGAGGCACTTCTGGCTCGACGATGGAGCTTGCCCGCATAGACTTGGAGAGAGGATGTTCGCCAGCGACGCCGTTCGCTCGTCGTGACAGAGGGTTCGAAGGTGTGAGTTGTGTCCTGGGCTTCGGCCTGCCAACCTCTGACTTGGGGTCAAACGAGATTTTGCTGATAGGTGTGAGCTCAGCATCCGCGTCAAGCGGAGCTTCTACGACCTCGCGCGAATCCGAAGGGCCATCAAGCCTCAGTTGTTCGAACATGGCGCTCTCGTTCCACGGCCTTCCTCCACCTGCACGGCGTCTATCTGTTGTGACAATGCCGAAGCTGAGCTTCATGGCGTCTGCCAGCGACGTTACTCGCTTTGTTCCACCAGGATTTTTGCTGACCACGACTGCTTCCTTCCAGTCTCGCACATTCATACGCACCCAGCGTGCAAGGAGTGGCTCCGCGACGAGGTTGTCCACTGGACACTTGAAGAAGCCCTGCATCTGAGAGGCGTGTAGGTCGACGGTGATTACATGATTGACACCGGCAATGTGAAGGAGGTTCGCAACCATACGAGCAGTAATAGCACCACGGTGCTGCTTCTTTTTCGACTGGCGCGAGTAAGGGAAGTATGGCATAACAGCTACACACTGTCAGTATCTGGCGGAGCGATTGCTGGACCGGTAAGAGGCATAGTACCTGTGACAGACTTCGCAGAGCCACCTTTACAGGCAGAAATCATGATCAAGAGCTCCATGACTGAGTCGTTGATTCTGCATGCAATTAGCGCGTGCGAGGGATCGTACGCAAACCTACGCACTTCTCGCTGCCGCTCTGGATGATAAAGACATCTTTGTTACGAATCGACGTGTCTGCCAGCGATTAGAACGCGAGAGACGCAGTAGGCCAGTAAGCCGTACGGATCGTGACAGACGTCTCTCCATTCTTGAACTTGCCCAGCGTCGCAGAGCCAGGCTTCATGCCCAAGCGGTCGCATACACCGTCGACCAGCCTGGGGTGTGACGACCCGCCAAAGACGATCGCGCCGCGCATCGTGGGAGGACCGAGTAAAACGACGTCGTTGTAGTGGTCGAATCGCAGTGTTGACCCATGAGACTTCGTAAATTTTCCCGTCATCGCAGCAACGAAAGCCGGCGTATCGGCGCTCGGAGGCTTGGCGAGGAAAGCGTGGCCCAACACGGAAAGAACGACCAGTCGAGTCAGGAGCACCGCGATCAAATGCAGGGCAACGTGCGCCGGTCACTATCATGAGTGAGTTTGCTGATGTCTGTGGTTCTCGAAAAATATTGGAAATGTCAAGGTGCTAGCTCTAGCTTTCCCGCACATAGACCATTCATATACAGATGACGGCGTCAATCAAGCGTTTCACAGGCACTGGTGTGTTGGCACGCGACCAGACCTTGGAAACAGTGGACTGGCCAGTCATTTATCTCCACAAGTCAGATGCTTCGTTCGGGGGAGTTTCAAGCACGCTAGCAAGCAGGGCAAAGCTCTGCAGTGTGTAAGATTTGTTTGCTCTTAAAAACCGTAGAATCTTAATTAACTAAGATTTAGCCTAGTAGGGGTGCTGTAGCTAGCAAGGAGCACTTATGAACAGCAACTTACTCATGATTAACGTACTCTATCACCGAGCCGGTCATATCACCGAACCGGTCACTTAAAATCCCACCAAAAAACACAGAAACCATACCCCTGCATCTTAATAACTACTTAATGGAATCTTCTAAAAACTTCAGAATAGAGCTGCATCTATACTAATAAGACTGTTTGAAAGTCTTAGAGTGCTTAGCCCTATATTGCAGATGTTGTTTAGAAGATACTGAAATACAGGGGTAGCTGCAGGCTATCTCAACATCTATACTAGCTATTAGTCTAAGACTTTTAAATAGTTTTATTAGTATAGATACAGCTCTATTCTAAAGTTTTTAGAAGATTCTATTAAGTAGTTATTGAGATGCAGGGGTATGGTTTCTGTGTTTTTTGGTGGGATTTTAAGTGACTGGTTTGGTGATATGACCGGCTCGGTGATAGAGTACGTTATAATCATCTCAATCAACGTAGTTTACAAGCTTTAGACCACCTGAGTATTTAGACCGCTTTTGCCAAGCCTCCACTAAAACTCCAACTCTACACAATACCTTCATTGGGAAAAGTTTTTCCATTGTTAAAATCAGGAAATTGTGGCATTGTACTGTGGGCAACAGTAGGACTTGTAGGCCTACAACAGTTATTTAATATGTAACGTAGATTATCACCGAGCCGGCCATATCACCAAACTGGCCACTTTCTCTTAGCACGACCACCTTTTACCCCAACACAACATGCCTTAACAATAACAACTTTAGAATACTACTAGAGAAGGTAGAGTTATCCTTGCTATCTAGGCCTTCTATGCTAGCTAATTTCGCAGTATCTGCAGCGCTGCTAGAGCGTTGAACGTACCTTATCAGCAGGTCTCTAATTGCCTTTGCAATATCACGTTTTAACTAGATGTACGCGCTAATTGCTAGAAACTTACTATACTAGAGGAGCAGATAATTATCTAGTATATACTTAACCTTAATTTGTGAGGATTTGCGCCCTAGCTATGTAAGGTGGCAGATATAGCTAATAAGATACTTAGTGTGCGTGGTGAAGAGCCTGTTGGTAAACTATAGGCTAGCAGGCTTATAACGCGTTTAGACAAGCTTAAAATAGCCTTTAATTAAGCTAAGGATAGACAGAGGATACTACAGGAAGATCCTAAGATAATTAGCGCGTAGTTTAAGCTAGTAGAGGATACTTAAGTTAAGTATAGTATTTATAATAATAACATGTACAACTTTAATAAAACTAGGTTCTAGATAGGCGTTGCTTTGTCTTTAAAGGTTGTAACAGGCTTAGAGAGACGTGCTTAGCTAGAGCTTGTTCAGCCAGGTGATCGCGAGTGGGTTACCGTTATCCAGAGCATCTGCGCCGCTGGGTATGCAACCCCACCTTTCATTATCTACAAAGGACGCGTCCACATCTCTGCCTAGTATAAGGAGACAGATATACCCTACAATTAGAAGCTCTTAGTCTCTAAGAATAGTTAGACAAATAACATACTTAGCCTTAAGTAGTTAAAGCACTTTAACACATATATAAAGACACGTTAGGTAGGAGTGTATAGGTTACTTATCTTAGACAGCTATAAGAGCTATCTTAACTAGGAGTTTAAGGACTATTACCTAGAGAACTAAATCCTTACTCTCTATATACTACCTTACTTATTACACATCCTCTAGCTACTTAATATAGTCTATTTCTTGCTATTAAAGTGTAAGTACTCCTAACATGTTTAAGACTTAGTATACTAACATGTCTTCTATATTAATAAGGAAGGCTTCCTACTAGCCTTTAGGGATATATTCCTTAATATATTTATAAAGGTTAACTACTAAAAGGCCTTTAAGGTATTAGGGCTTATTCCTACTAATACATAGGTAGTGTTAGATTGCCTTAAAGTGCAGCTGCATACCCTACTAGCAGTACCTCTACCTAAAATACTATAGTAATCTAAGACACTAAGCAATACACACAAGTTTAGGTCTTAATCTAAGCTTATAAGCAACTCCTTCTAATAATTACTAAGTGTAGTATAAGAGGGGTTCTTAAAGCTTGTAAAAGGGGCTAAAGAGATACTGCATAAAAACATCCTTATTAAGGCCCACGTGCAAGAGCTTAAAGAGCAATTAGCAGTAATAACTAAGAGAAAATCGCGTAAGAGAAAGCAGATTTAGCATAGTGGCACACTTAAGTATGGCCCAGCAGCATCGCGGGTAGCTGCTGAGGCGTGTGTAGCAGCTCAGCCATCTAAGAAGACTTAGGGTAGAGGTAGTCAACTAGGAGCTTAGTTAACTGTTTAGCGCTGTAGGAACTGCAGCAAAACTAGAAACAACGCACAAATGTGCTAGGAGGGTGTAGAAACATCTTCTAAATCTAATACAAGCACGCAGTATGCTAGGTCACTATTTAATAGTAAGTAGTTATAGTTGTAGTAACTTGTGTTAGTTGTGCTAAGAGAAAATGGCTAGTTTAGTGATATGGCCGGCTTGGTGATAATCTACGTTATAAACCTTTAAGTTTTTACTATGCTTTAAAGGAGCTTTTAATGCCTCTATTACTAGGAGTAATATCTAGGGAGGATTTAGAGGTGCTAGCTTAGTCCTATTTAATCTAGAGGCTGTAATATTAAAGCTTAAAGTGCGCCTATGTACTCTACTACTACCTACTATAGATAAGAGTATGTAGCACTCTTAAACCCTTTAGAACACCCTAGAATTTAGGTTACAATTAAAGCTTATTTAAGAGAGGATTTAATAATATAGTAATAGCTCTCTAACTTTACTAGTTAATGCTCTTAATTAGCTTACTAAGGGCGCAGAGATAATAGCGCATTTACTAGTTTTAGTGTGTAACTAGGTTGCAGAGCTTTAAGCTGCTAATAAGGCCACTACACGCTGTAAATCACACAAGAGGAAGCAGATCTAGAGGGAGGGGACTCTTACTATTAGTAAAGGAGTACACTTAACTACCCTAAAGGAGTTTAAAGCCTATAGTAATAGGAAGAAGGTAAGCAAGAAGAGGCACATTAAACTAGGCACTTAGTCTTTGTAGTAGTCTGGCCAAAGGCCAATAAAGGATATCTACTTCCTAACAACTTTTGCTAAAAAGCATGCACAAGTTAACTAGACGTCTAGTTAACTGCGTAGATAATATATATCCAGCTTTAGCCAAGCCGGCTAAGCTAATGTAACCGGCTAGCTCTAGCTCTTCTTTAGCTTTAGAGTCTAGACCGTTACAGTCTTTACAACGCTGTAGCAGGTGTAGTAAGGCAGGGCATAATGCGCGAACATGTATAAAAGATGTGCAAGATACTGTAGATTAGTGCTGTATACTGTAAGTTATAGTAACTTGTAGTAACTTGCTATAATATACAAGAGAAGTTGAAGTTTAGTGTAGTCTTGGCAAAATCTGGTCACTCGCCCGGGCTGGCCACTCACCTGTGAGGTACGTTACTTGTAATTAAACTTTATTTAAAGCTCTACTTAAAACTTAATAAACATACTAGGCTAGTTTGTGCTAACGTAGCCTAGATTGCGCTTAGCGCGCAACAAATTGGCTATAGCAGCTACATCTGCTAGTCGCAGTGGAAATCGTTGCGCAACTAGCTCAAGTATGTAATTAAAAATCACCCTCTTCTTATTATTGTCTAGATTCTGTAAGTTAGGTATAGAACTAGCGCATAAAGGTTGTCTAGCATATTAATTACTTAGTGTGCTTTAAGAGACCTTGTAGATAGCTGCAGCATATTGCAGGGAGAGTTTTAGGCCTTGTTTAAGCGCCTTAAGCGTAAGCTGTATCTAACAGTTCTTTAACACGTCCAACTAGTGTTGTTAGGGAGGCATTAGTGTAGTAAGAGTGTAGTGGTGGGGGCTTGGCAAAAGTGTATGGCTCGCCTGTTGTTCGACTCGCCCACGAGGTGCGTTAAGTTAACCTACATTAAAAGAGCTAAAAAATTCCTGGGTAAAGCTTACTCTTCTATGCAACCTGCAAATATCTAAGGCGTAGCAGCCTCTGTGCAAAGAGATATAACGTCTAAAAGTAGAAAGAACATATTTTAGATAGCTTTTCGTAAACGCGGTACTAAAATTCCTTAAGCACTGCGCTGACGCTTTGCTGCCTTTCACCTGAGTAGACGCTAATTGGCTACTTTATGAAGTAGCGTGATGTCAGGTGCGGAGCGTCTGAGAATAAGATAACCAGTCATGGCTAAGCACGAAAGCACGATGCGCCTTCGTGCATGCAAAGAGTCCCAACGTTAACGTCCCCGCAATCTACACTCTACTTGGGCGTTGCGGCTTCAGTGCATTGCATGCCCTGAATCCTGAGCCGGCTTCACCTCACTATTGGAGAATTCACATGAGATCCAGCCCAGGTACATGTAGTCTGCTTCGCCAAAATTTCATTCAACACTTACTGTTCACTGAAATGATGCAGGAAAAGTGACGCGCCACCGGTTAAATCCATTACGGAATGCGGGGAGATAAGGGTGCGGTGGGCTGCCACTGTTGTCCAGGTAGGGGAGACCCAAGTCATGTCCGTTGACTGGAGGGATGCTTTGAACATAGTATGCAGAATCGTCGTAGATTAACCAAAGACCAGTCTGTAGTCGCGCAGAGATCTGAAGACGTTGGCGGTTAAAAAGTGGTCGGCGACCTTTGTCTCAGTGGCTGTGATCAACTCCAGGAACAGCAGCATCCTGGCTGCAGGAGGTATGATCGTCGCGGTACCTGCAGATCTCCTTTCGTAGGCTATCTGTAAGTATGAGTCAAGGCCTAGTAGCAGGGATCCCAGCCACGGCTACCGTTACACATGCTCACCGCCTACCTGGTGCCATAGTCCACTTCCCTTTCGATGCGATTGAAGTAACGTTCTTGATCAGACTGGAGACCTGCCGATTGGCCACTACATGCATTGCAGCCTGGAGTACCTTGTAAGCTCAATTGTGAAGTCCATGGTACTCACCGACGTCATGGATGTCCACCTTCATATGCCAGTCCCATATGCAGTTGTGACACTAGTCACGGAAGCTGCAAGGTACCATCCATCGCAGACTGTAACGTGGATCCACCGTTGCGACGGCCACTATAACTTGTTCAATCCTAATCCTTAGAAAGTCGTCAAGAGTTTAGGAGAAGATAATGACTAGTTGTTACATCCGTGGGACGAAAATATATTCCTCCCTGCCACATGATTGGAGCGGTGAGAAGAGTAGGGTCAACAGCACGTGTAAACAGAAGGTATGTCTTGGCCGGAACAGAGATGAACTAGTGATGGAGATGTAATAGACCTACAAGTCCGTGGTGTAATAGCCTTGCGTGCAAAGCGCCAGGTACAATAGAGGCGGATAACGGAAGGGTCTCGTGGTGCGCTACGATGGAGCGGCTGCATCGTCTGACAGGGTCCTCATCGGGCATGTATCACCATTGACGACAGCTTGAAGCCGCGCCAGGCAGATTGCGAGACCATCAACCACGGTCTCCCCTATCTCTATCGTAGCGTACGCCATAAGCTTGCAAGGCTGCGCTCGTCAAGCTAGCGGAGAGACATCTTGATCCGTAAAGTATAGTGTATGAACCGCCGCCGATAGTGGGACGTTACTGTCTGCTAATGCGCGGTACTGCGGCTTCGCCCGAGAGTTTCATCCCAGAAAGGCAGTCGGCTCTGACGCCGAGCCCGAGGCTGTCATAAAAAAATTGACAGAAAACGGCACGTACAACGGTGACTTGGATATCAAAGCCGACCAATGACCAGATCAAACCCTAGTCAGTGCTTTCCCGACTACCCGGTTCGAGGTGATGACAATCCACAAAGTGTGCAGATCGAAGCAGTGCTTCGTTGGACGCGCTTCACCTCACAGGCCTGCATCTGTCTAGCCATGAGTGGTTGAGTACGGGGGTTCGTCCTCGCTGATCTCCATCGATCTTAGGCTGAGTCATGTATGCTTTGGCTCTGTGATAAATTGGCTTACAAGATGTGCTTTATCCAAGGTCAGATGGTCGAAGTGAAGCAGTGTGCAGTTGAATCCGAGACCGCTGCGCCGGCCATATAACGTGTGTACTTGGGAGACCGCATGGCCCATGGGATAGGTGGTGATGCAACAGTGTCTGACTGCCATGATCTTGAACCCGCAAACCAGGTAACAGGTCGATGGCGGTAGCCAGGGTTGTCGCATTCGAGTCACCCCCTGCTAGCAACTACTATCTCAATAGGAGCTCTCTAGTAGTGACATAGACCTTGATGTGTCGCGTGGGGGAAAGGCAAGTGAAATCTTGGCAGTCCATTCGGACTTCCAGATTCACGAAGATTGGTGGGCCAACATCCAGAGAATGACGCACTTGAATCCGTCTGGGGTAGTGCCACAAACGCCGAGATTACACAGCAGCCTTGATGGTGACACTGATCTCGCATTGGTGGAACCGAGAACCAGGTTCACAGCGATCCCGTGTAACAGGGGAAGATGAAGCGAGAATCTGTGAACAGACCCTCGAGGGTGGTCTCATACAGGATGCTTGCCATGGCCATGTAGCCACAATTGTGACTTGTAGTCAGCAGCAGGCGTAGTACTGAGTCGGTGATTATGGTTCCATTGCGTGTGAGAGACCGAGGTGTTCACGAAGTGCATGATCTGAGGTCTTGTCGCAGGCTCGAAGCTGACGGTGTGCAGACGCTTCCGCATAGCATCATACTTCGAAGTTAGCGATGACATCTGAAGTGTATTGAATGGAAGCGATGAGGCTCGCGTTCTCAGCCAGGCTGATTTACGAGATATAAGGGTGCATTGACCAGCCACCTAACGTGCGGCTTCTGTAGAAACCTCGCGATCCTCGAGTACCATAGCTAACCCGAGCTTCTCCTGCTACCCGGTCAAAGGTGTCTATAGTAACCTGTCAAGGGTGGCTTTCATCCGCACGAGCCCCATTGGACGCAGCTCTGTTCATTCGTGTTCAGTTTCTCGCTTCAAGAAGAGGGTCGCAGAGTCGGCCATGAGTCAAGCTATCAATCGAGAGGGGAAGCTGCCAGAGGAACAGACAGTGGAATTTCCGCCAGCCCCCTGAATGTTGGTCCAGTGAGAGGCTTGCCTCTTTCGTAGCAGTATGCGTCTTCCCAGAGCATGCGGAAGATATAGGTCGGTCTGCTAGATCCGCCCAGGGCAGATCCTCGGCGCTACATCAAGACGCCAAAGGCGTTTCATGAGATGAGGCTGCGTGACACCATTCGCCGAGGAGCTGAACCAGGTAGAGGGGACCCGGCACGCAGATGGCGGCAACGAATCCTCTCATCTGCAGCGACTGGCTGCGGGTCTTCCAGAAGGAGCCATAGGCGATAGGAACTGGAATAAATACAGAGTGAAGGGGGACGGCGCGACAGGGATTGTGTTGTACACATCTTTGAAACCACAAGTACACTGTAGAGTTTTTACAACAGCACGGATACCAAGCCACGTCCAGTGCATGCCGTTGCCTGCGGCGAATTGATGGCCTCTCTGGGAGACCCGTTCAATCGAGCGACCGAAATCCTGGCCAGGGAAGGTTTCAGGAAGAAGCAAAGAAGACAGGCAGAAAGGTGGAGAAGGAACGGTGGTTGGAGGCGTATGCATGACGACGTTTTCGGCAACTTTGTGTACGAGCCGACTGACCGCCTCTACCGCGAAGTCCCTGGCAAACTCCATTTTCCTCCAGCACAAGCAGCCGATGGTGCAATCGACGCGTCGTTGCTTTTTTGCAAGATCTTCCGGGCACGTTGAGGAAGAAGCAGCGCAAAGGAGTCGCGTAGGGCGATGTAATGGGAAAGGGCGACCGAAAAAGCAGCTGCCGTAAGCTTAAACCCAGTTCACGCTAATCTTGGACTAAGCCTTATTGACTGTAGCTCCTTCTGGCAAGTACAGGGCCCGAATCAGCAAGAGACGGAGCCCCGTCGCTCTAAGCTGGGAAGTCGCAGCAAGAGTCTTCATTCGCGACAAGACGCATGCAGCACGGTTTGTGTGACACATAGATTCGGCAGCGCTACGCCTCGAGTCATCTCGGAGCATTCACATCGCGATGCGCCCTGGACAAGGGTTCGCGACCTGAAGATGCTACCATGCCCGCGGCTGCGGAACAGCCAGCCCGCGTCTGACGAGCTCCACTACGTCGTTCCCTTCGAGAGCCTCATATTGGAGGAGTTGGAGAGGCACCTCTGATTCGGCCTTGTTGTGCAACATCTGGTGTACCTGTTCCTCTATCCGTCTCAAAGTCATCCGCTTTTGAGCGTCACGGTCCAGGGCAGAGAGACCGCAAGACGGCTGCACGCTGCTTCTTGTTGTACACTACCGCAATATGGTGGACATGGTATCAGATCTGGCAAGCTCGAACTTAGTTCCATACATGGTTCTCACATATCTTGGGATCAGTATAAGACGGACCCAGATCCGCGCAATTAGCGTGTCCAGCTTAGCAACAAGCAGTGTTCTCTTCATCAGCACAATTCTCAACTAGTTCTGTTCCCTCTGCAGCATTTTGCTTGCTTTTCCACAGCCACAACTAACAGAACCCTTGAACGCCCTCGGCCATCCGCGCATCCCACGCCCATCTCAAACGCTTCTCCTGCCAAAACCGCTCAGGTAACTTCTCCGCATATCGGGTACATATGAGTCTGTTTCCCACCCCAGTTGCGTTTGCTAAGTCATCGCAGCTTCATTTCTCGCTACTGTAACTACGACACTCGCTCAATTCGACCCCAACACATCACAATGGCCGCCCCAGTAAACTGTCAACACACCTTCAAGGTCGTCAAGTCTGACACAACCGTCGTCGTCTGGAACTGCAACATGTGCCATTCAGGGCCTCACTCTCTCATCTATGAGTGCGCCAACTGCAAGCTAAAGACTTGCCGGCCATGTGCATCGAAAGCATAGGTAAGCCGCATATCTCTCTCCTTTCCATATGGATCCTTCGACATGCCTATGCAAGGCTGCAAAGTTGTGAGACACACGGAGAGACGTGAGCGACGTTTCATGAATCAATTCTCTGACAGATGCAAGTTTGTGTTGCTGACTCGGTGGATGCAGACCATCAATCGCTCGTGCAGGGGGATAGACCAACTAGGATCGATCCAGATACCTGTATCGATTACACCCGGCTCGTATTTCCATCGGCGACTCACGTCGCATTTCACGGCATTCAACGAACTTCCTTTTTCCTACTCCGCTCCTCGGGCGGCAACATCTATATGTCGGCTCTATCGATTTAGCACGGCGTTTCGGCGGATCATTATCTGGCGGCCCTCTGACCTAAGAGCGGCAATCTCGAAATGGATGGCCTCTGTTGTTTCCAGGCGTTATCTGCGACTGCACAAAAGCAAAGGGCGTCTTTACTGAAGTGTTTCAGTCTAAACGTGGACGTCCCGCGACGGCTTGATGGTTTCTGGGTTGCTCTCTGTCTATTTCATGCATGGGGTTCTGGTCTGAGCATTATTGGCAGGATTTTTTTCTTGTATTACCATTTCGCAGTGCTCCATTTCTAGACTCAGGGACGGCCTGCATTTTCGACCTAATGTTTCTCTCTCACATATCTCAGCCCCATCTGGTACCCTCTACATACCATATCCTGGTTATCAGCGGTAGTCTCCTGTACACAACTCACCTCTATAGTGGGAATGGTCGTTTCATGCGTTGAGCAGGCCCATCTTAGCAGCTGAATAGAGAGAAGTTTACATCAACACAAACCCATCTACCAGCTAATCTGCTGAAATTGATGTATCAGCAGAGGTCAGGTAGACGACAACTCGAGCCTCTTCAACCTTCGCATATGCCCGCCCTGTTTCTTCGCGGACATCCCTGTTAATAGACGATGACAGTGCCGGCAACGAGATCCGCCTCGATCTGCGCACCGACACCGATTGCAATTTGGCGATCCAAAAAGCCTGCGCCGCGATCCTGCAACAACATCCTTCTCTCCACTCGAGCGTGTCGCACTATGCTTTGCGTACAGCAATGTGTACGTAGTTCCTGCGCTAGCATTGCGGGTCGAACAGAATCCTGCCATGCACGAGTCTGTATCGAGCAGCAGAGACAATAATGGAACAGAACTGGCAGTAAACGCGAGCCGTATTTCTCGGAGGTCGCCGCCAGTAAGCTGAAAAATTGTGCATCCTTGCGTGGTCCAGCTGGAGTGTTGCTGATGCAGCCTCCCAACGTGCTGCAGATGCTGATGGATCATGCTAGAATCCGTGAACAGGGCGATGAAGCTTGAGCTCATGCAACAACTTGAGATAGAGATTGTTCACAGTCTGCCACCCCCGCACTGTGGCGCACGGACTGGTGCGAGTGAACACGACGCGTCGAACGACCAGAACTCTAACGCGTGCCTTGCAATTGCAGTCTACTTACGTCTCAGCAGAATTCACTCAGGGGTACTTACACCACCTATGCACCAAAATTGCCAGGCAACCATGCAGGTTCAAGATCGCCCGACGCCGTTGTCAGCACTTGGTGGTGCGCGGGTTGTCGAAGGAGCAAGAGCTCAGCCGCATGAAGTAGCCCCAAAATCTTACCTGCATATTTATAAATGACATCGCAATCGATAGCAGCATCGCTCATAGACTCTCACCTTTCTGCAACTTCACACAGTTGTACACAACTTGCTGCTTCTTCTTGCTGTACCTCTGGCAGGCCCGCTCGTGAGCAGTGTGCATGGTGCGTTACATGATATGCTGACGATAAAGACGTAGTCAACATGAGAATTCTTACCAGCGATAGCAAGGAGGCCAACAATGCACCTCAAGAGCTTATCAATGAGTTCTGGGAGAACTTGATTAGTAAGAAGCCCGGCAAGGTTACAAAGGTCTTTCCCCCATCATTGTACGCTAACCCACTCCCACCGCCACGCAGACCAGGAGTTGTCAAAGGCCAAAACGCAGCTGAATCCTACGAAGCTGCAGCCATGGAATTTCGAACTCGTGTCAAGCGGATTATACGAGAATGCCAACGACCCAATGAGAAATTCACGGATCCCGACTTTGACATTACGGACCAGCCAATGAACTGTCTCGAGGGACTCTTGCGATGGTATAGAGATTCCGATCCAGCCTCTACAGCAACAGCTATAAGCCCTGGTTGTTTGGGGTTTGCTTTGCGTACCCTCATTGAGGCTGAGGTACTCTGCCAGGACGCTGCGCCCTTCCAACTCAAAAATACCGCCGACGTCCTCCTCAACAGTCAACCGAACTTTGCAGATCAAGCTCCGCAACCATGGCATCGTATTGACTGGATTTCCAATGCTCCGAAGTTCGAGATCGACGGATTTTCCAGCAGCGATGTCGTGCAAGGTGCCAACGGCGACTATTGGTTCGTTGCCGCAGTCGCAACGATCTGTAGCAACCTAGAACTAATACAGAAAGTCTGTGTTGATTGAGATGAAGAGTGCGGTGTGTACGGCTTCGTCTTTTACAGGGACGGCGAGTGGATCTGACAGTTGTCGACGACAATCTATTTCTTTCGAAGCCCGACTTTGATGAACGAGGAGATATGTACGACCCCACTGGAATCAAAGAGACAAGGTATAAGAAGAGCCACCAGACTGGATCGGAGACTTTTTACTTCGCCTCCTGCGCCCACGAGAACGAAACTTGGCTACCCCTCCTCGAGAAGGCTTACGCGAAGGTGGATGGCGATTACGATGCCATTAGTGGCAGTATTTCTGGTAAAGCTGTGGAGGACCTCACTGGTGGTGTGACCAGCAAGATTTTGACTGATCGCGTCCTTAGCAAAGAGCGACTGTGGAAAGAACTCACTGAGGTCAACAAGGACTTTCCGTTCTGGGCATCGTCTCCAGGTTCATATGGCAGTGAATACGATGCCAGGCGAGGATTAGCTCTCAGCTATGCTTACTCGGTCATCAAGGCTGTCGAAGAAGAGAGTGAGGACGGAAAGATCAAGCACAGGCTTGTACTCATCAGGTATGTAGCTAACATGTACCCGACGATATCTACTAATACGCCTCAGGAACCCTTGGGGCAAACGAGCCAGTGCAGCGATGGGCGAGTGGACGGGTCCCTGGTCAGATGGGTCGGCCGAGTGGAACCTGACTGGATGCAAAAGCTTGGTCACACATTCGGTGACGACGGCCTCTTCTGGATGTCATACGAAGACCTACTCTAGCCCGTCGACCTGCTCGACCGCACACGACTGTTCGACCACGATTGGACTGTCGTGTAGCATTGGACTAGCGTAGCTGTTGGATGAGCCACTGGGTTTATGAACACAAAGTTCTCTGTAGAGATCAGGAGGCAAAGACTGACTGTTTTCCAGCTCTGTCAGGTGAGTAGTCTTATTTCGTGTAAGGAACACCCTCCCATTCATCGTCCCAAAGGCTGCCAGGGCACAGACGCTTACTTGAGCAGCTTGATCATCGGTACTTCTGCGCCCTGGAAGGCTAATATGACTTCGATTTGCACTTCATCTTACAGGAAAAGTACACGGATGATGGCGATTACATCGTGCGTGCCCGCGGCGCATGGCTCAGCAACCGTAGTATCTCAGCCGAGGTTGATCTTGAAACAGGAGTGTACGAAGTTGTGCCAAAACTCGTGGCGAAACGTGACGCGGACGCTCCAGACGTGCACGAAGTGGTCACGAAAGTTGCTGAACGTAACCCCCGGAAGCTGAGGCAGACCGGCCTGAGCTACGATATCGCGAACGCAAAAGGACTCGCGGAGGTCTCCGATGAAGAGAAAAGACACAAAGAGTCGAAGAAGAAAGAGGCAGCAGAGAGGAAGAAAAAGGAAAATGAGGCTGCTGAGAAGCGGAATGCGGAGTTTGAGGCGTGGAAGAAAGAAGAGAAGGCAGACTACGAAGCGTGGAAGAGGGGGAAGCAACGACTTGAAAACCAGCCAAAAAGGACGAACGAGCCTGGAACTTTAAAGACCGGGACTGCCGCGCCGGAAACCAAGGAGGCTTCCATTGATGCCGCAAGTCAGCCTGCCAAATCTGATGCCAATGATAGTGTCACGGAAGTTACTACAAACCTCATACGAGGAGCGCAGGAGCTAAGCCAGCGACCGCAGCACTGGAGGCCGACCTGATCTCCAAAACGGCTGGACTCAAAGTAGACGATGCGGCAGCACATAGCGATGATGACAAAGCGGAGCACGGCCTTGATGAGAACCTGGGGAATAACAGTCGCGCCTCGTCGAGGGCAGTCTCGCGCGGAAGGCGTCTTCCTCCTCACATGCACCGTAGCGCGCCTCGCAGTTACTACGGGGACGACCCCGTTCAGAAAACTAGCCCACGTGATCTCTCGCCCGTGGACGAGAAACCAAGGCCCTGGAATGCGGTGTGCGTTTTAGGTCTCAGAGTTTATAGCCAAAACCCAGAGGCCAGTATCAAGCTTGGTAAGCCGAAGAATGTGGAAGATGGTGCGATCTTAGACGTCGGTGGAGAGATTGCTGCTGGGGCAACGATGTGATTGGAGTATAGGTTATACTGAAAAACCTACCTCCTTGTGTTATCCGCTCGTTGTGCTCACGAGTCGATGTGATTACGTGCTGCCTGCACTTCAAGTCAGCAAGCAAGGACCTTTAACAGCGACCTAGCTACACAGGCGAGCGATTTGTAGATTGTACCGACCCACAATTCTTTGGCAGTTTAAGGACGCAACTTCCCTTTGTTACCTCGTAATTTCTAATCCTCCACGACTGCCTCCCCAATGGGTAGCTGCGCTCGTAAGTGCTGATCAGGCAAGGCTGCAACTTCAACTGCATCACACGCGTGCCAACGCTGACCACCTCCAACCATCGCTACAAGCCATATACTTACACGTGCACCTGCGCGGCGATCGATAGGCGGTACCATTAACAGTTCTTTCGTTTTCCATCATCGTTAGCGTATATACGGTCACTCGCTCTGCATGACTACAGCCATCTACATCGTCGCATCCACCAGAAAGAGCCATGGCTGCCGAACACGACCCAAACGATGATCTATATAGCTATGACGGCTACGACAAGGCCACGTTTGGCTTTCTAATTGAACCAGATGTCCGACAGCCCAGGCAAGACTCAGGTGTAGATATCCAGATGCCCGAGGCGATACATAACGAGGCGGTTGGAACACTCTTTGCATCGCAAGCGGCAACGGATATCCCATCGCAAGCAACCACGCATATTGCACCACGCCAGACGATCAATGCGGAGACCCAGACACAACACGGGTCGGAGTCCTCAGTCTTTGCATGTTACGATGCTATAGCGGAGACAAAAAGAGGAGATACCCATCATACCATCTTTGAATTGCGACGATGGCTTGGAAGATTCAAGTTGCCTCAGGCGGCACGCGCCGATGACAAAGGAGACTTCACTGTCGAGAATGAGGCATCACATCACCTCTTTCGGCAACGTTCGCTAAGCGCTCAGGCAGCGAAACTTGCTGCATCGGAATTTCCGCTACAGCGCTTAGCTGACGATTCCATCGATGGTAACGAGTCGGCAACTCACAAGCCTGAGGACGACGACGCAGGCCCATCTATCATGGATGAGCGCTTGAACCTGCTGTTGTCGATTGCATTGCCACAATCGCCAATTGAAAGAACGTGCGAATGGGATGAGAGGCAGCGCGCACGAGAAGAATACGACTCCATCGAACGGGCACATGCAATTCGTCTCGAAGCCGATCAGCGTTCGGCCCAGACTCGAGAGAGGAACCTGGAGATCTCCGAAAACAACTGGAAAGAAGCAGAAGTAGATCGCAAACGCGCCGAAAGCAGTTGGCCGAATGGCAGCCTAGAAGCCTCTGTGGTCCAGGAATTGGAGCACGGCGACGAGCTTGCTTCGCAGATGTCAAGTATGATCAACTATATGGACTCGGGACTATACATCATCCCTCGAATGTGGGATTTCACAGATCCTACCCGTCGAACGCGCCTTTACAGCAACACATACTCCTTCCTCAGATATATGATGCGCGAAAGGAAGGTGGTCTATCTGCTCGGAACCCGTTTCGAGGACTTGCAACAGGGCAGATCTAACCAGCCAGAAGCGGCGATTACAGAAGAGATGAAGACTCTGGAGAACGCCATGGAGGTCCGATGCAATGCTGAAGTGGACTATTTCAACCTCTTGTGCGACTTCCTGAACTGGGCTATAGCTCACACAACTCTCGAGTTCCGAGACATGACTAACGGTGGTCCTGAGCCCACGAGGCCAAATGCTCTGACGAACGACATCCCGATCTCGGTAGTGGAGGACATGATTGAGGTAGAGGCGGAGCTAATGAAGCGGTATGAACGACTGCGAGATCTGGAACAAGCGTACTTCCCGAAGCGCTTCATAGTCGATCCCTTACCCTCAGAACCTCCGCCAACTCAGACGAAACCTCAATATACGCCTAGAGGGCGACAGATCCCGGTGCGACAGCAGATGCCTCCGCAAGATGACTCGGCGGATGAATATGATCTTGGAGATGAAGCTCAGTTTGGCGAAAGGTTAACGCGAACGCTGCCTCGACCCTTCAGACCGCAAAATACTCCGCTGTTGAGGGTGATGCGGTTTGATCCCCATCCAGTTCCAACTTTAGACAAGAAGATGACAGGAGAGCCAACTTCACCGGTGAAGCCTCCTGAAACAGACTACTTACGCCCACCTAAACAGAAACGAAAGCTGCCGCTGCGTATGTTAAATTACCCGCACACAATAGAAGAATACACGCCCGAGTCACTGTCTCCATTCAAACCGTGGAATCTTACAACTGCACGTGTACGTCACAAATCTCAAACCGGAATTGGCGTCAGCGGTAGGTTGGCCTTTGTGGTGTCACAGTGTGAATGAGAAACTGACTCTATCACACAGAGCGTACTTTGAGAAGATCAACCCTCCAGAAACAATTCGTGTCCTTGGACCGAGTCAAACGCGAACGAGCACTTCGAGAGCCATGGACCCCAGACAACATCGACAGAGTTATAGAGTGCAATTGGCGGGAAGATCTCAGATACATGCAACGATGCCGATCCTTGGCGGAATATAACAGTCTGTTTTTAAGTCTTCAACGCTGCACTGCCACATGCTAATTTTCCATACCAGCAATCCGAAAGTATTGGCGGGTGGTGCGCGAGCTCTCGTCTCGCGCCGGAACGTACTGGGTTGCACCCACTCATATCGGACGCAGTCAATGGCACGATGACGACAATGTGTATACCGACGATAGTGAAGGAGTACTACGCCTCGTGATACCGGATCCTTCTGGGATAGACCCTTCTGAGGACTTCAGAGATATGCTGGACGCCGACGACTTCAAACGCGCTGAGGACCAGATATTCTTCGATGCATTTGAGGACCAAACCACCGTCGTGCGCAGTGAGAATCCTGATGTGCCCGCCCAAGATCCTGCCGTGCGCGTCATTGATTTTGCCTCGCGTGGAAACACCAACAACGCTCGATACATCGACTCTACGCATCTGATCGAGCATATTAACGATATTGACGACCCTCGTACCAAAAGTGGGTCCCAAACTCGACTCATGAGTGAATGATACATCTTTTCGGCTGACAGTTACAACAGAACCGTCGCTTTTGGCTCGTGAAATATTCGAGTGGTACTCAGATGCGCCACAAGAGTCAAATAAGGGACTTGAAGTCACGGTCATAGAAAGCGAAGACTATGCTACGGAAGCAGACGTGGTTGAAGGAACGCCTGCGGATCATGTCGGATTGTTCCAACGCCCTATCACCCGGCTAGAGCGCCGCATCGAGGACCAATCCGAAGTCAAAGTCATAGAGATCGAAAGCTTTGACTCGGATGTACTAGAAAAGGTAGAGCCAAAGATGTTCGCAGAGGGTGGTACGAGTGAGGCGCAGGACTCTTCTGTGGTTGAAGCTGGAACCGCAGGCGAGAAGACTGGGGGCACCGGACCCGGGAACACCGAGCCTGACAATACTAGATCGCCGGTCGAGGATGACCAGTCACCAACACAGCAGTTAGATCCAGTGGCTAGTCCTCCAAGCAGAGCGCAACAGCTCATCGAGAGACAGCCCGAGCTGATGCCTAAGGAGATTGGTAGCTACGATACAGAGGAGGAGGACTTGGAAAGACGTTCATTGAGCGAAACAAGGAGGATCAACCACACTTCGTAGTACTGATTAGACTGTATGAAGCCTGAGATGTATATCGCCTCATATGAAAATGTATCGGCCGATTGGAAGATACAGGCGTTGGCTACTAGTAGTCAGTTTGTTGGCAGAACTCTCTGTCCTGCGCCAAGTACCTTCCTTGAATCCATTGTAGTCTTCAAGATTGCCAGCGGAATCTCGATCCCTCTGTACAGACTATTTGAAGTACGGTCCTTCAGCGTTTCCCCGAATCCCGTAATATCTGCAGTTCACGCTCGTCGTTCACCTCCCTGGAGAACATGCTTAGCTTGCTTGCATTCCAGCCCTCCACAACGGATCCGCCTACATCTGCAGCCCACTCTGAACCCTCTTGAGTCCTCCATCGTGGGCAAAACTCAGCATTGACATTCTTCTTCATCGACTCTCTTTTAGCCTCCACAATGAAGTGCAGAGCGCACAATAGAGTCTGGAAGCGTTCATCAGCGGGTGTGAGGTCACGCGTCTTTTGCTAAAACAGTTTACACCAGTCCCAGTAGATGGAGGAGCTTCCTAGGCCTCCATATTTCCACCCCGTATCAAAAGCGAAAGGCATGAAACCTGCCATATCTCAGTCGACTATCGCAGCGAGCTAGTGTCGAGGCTTCGATATGCAGTCGTTTGAAGGTATGCGCCTGACCAGGGTGTGACGTGGTTCGAGGTCGTGGTGCAAAAGAGCGGCCGATCTCGCGATGGCGAGTAGCTCTTCGTGGGTGGAATTGAACTGCAAACGACGCCTTTGCACTGATTTGACACATACGCCCTCAGTGGTTCTCTCAATTGTAGTTATGGCACCGGTTTGCTTCTGATGCCAAGCCACAAAATTGGACAGGAAGTCGTACATATCTTCCGACATCTCTTGGACCTCCAAATGTCTTCCGAGTGCCATTTGCAAAGGTTGTTGTCCGCTTAAGGAGCTTCTGGACATTTTAATCTTCGAAGCGTACCTTCTGCAGCCTCTGAACGGCGTCAGCGACCGCATTGGCCAACCTCGACTTCTGAGCACAGAATAGTCCAGGCTACACAGATTCCAAAACCTCAATGTCTGAAATGCATTGAATGACTGTGTACTTAACGTCCTTATCACTTCCCATGAAGGCACTACTGACCGCATAGACTTTGGACACGCGCTCTGGTGTCTCTAGTGCGGCGACATTATGGAGCGCCGACACGGCTGTAAGATTATCGACCTATTTTTTCGGGAAGCCTGGGTGGGCTACGGTGTCGAACGTTGCTCTAAATGTGCACGTTGTCCGATTGTTGGCAAGTATCTCGACCGAGAAGGGCCTTGGGCTGGCGGAGATCGCAGTGAGAACTTCTCCATCTGGCACAGGTTTTGGTGCTGTTACGAATTTCGTTTCCATGTTTGGTAGCGATTAGATTGAAGTGGAGAAGTGAAAGTGATGGTGACTGATAAGAAAGGCGCGGCGCAGCAAAATTTTCTTTATGTCAATTTACGGCGCTCATCTCATTGGCTGATTATCCATTTGTTCTTGCCCCTGTGGGTGTTTCACATGCATCCCACCAAAACAACGATGCCATTGTAAGCTGTTGCGGTGCAAGTCGGTCCGACAGGCCTCGATCGTCACCTCCGTTGACTACCTTGGACTAGCACGTCTCAGGGCATGTATATATGGTCGCCTCCTAGCTAGCAAGCAACTGAGCGCAGTTTTCCATCGATATACAGCGGCTACGTTTGCCGCAACAGTTATGAGCCTGGACGCTGAAGCTGCGCAAGCAAAGGTTGAATGGATTCCCATGTTCCATGGGTGACCATAGCCGAGCCTTGGCATGGTACCTGATCAACTAGGGCTACCATCTGGAGCATAGTGTATAGGATCACGAAGAAGGATTCACCTACTCAGCATGTTAGGCATTTCTCTGCGTTAAGTCACCTCCAATTATGCTGTCCTAGTTGGACGTGAGGGGGTGTGTCGCAGCAGATATTATGCCTATTTACCAGCCAATTTAGGGGTGCAAATGTATGTACATTTTGCCTCTATTTTGGCTGCAACATAAGCGAATAAACTTGTCGAGGATCACGTAGCAACACTGTAACTGATGCTTCACAATATCGTGGACACATGGGATACCACAAATCTATCTCAAAAGAATCACATCCAAGCAGGTGTGACACGATCCAGACCTTTGACAGTGTTCGAGGGCATATATGAGCTCACAAATGCTGCAACAGACCGACAATAATACTGCACTCACAACTCAACAAGCACCTCTAATCGGCTGATTCCACCTCATCAACAGTTCAAAAGGTATATACCATATACCTTTTGAAATGTATCCCTAGGAGATGAATGATTTGCAGAGGCACGACGATCTATAGAGCTGCAGGTTACGGGTGCAAGGATCCCTTGCTCATGCGAAGCGCGAGAATGCGGAGGGATCTAGGGAGAAGTTGGAGGGTTTGATTCACGGAGCTTCCACCGTGTCAACGGCAGCTCAGCAGGGCTTCGACCATCCGCTATGATTATCCAGAGTTTAGTGCGCTTGCGGAGGTTTTAGAAGGCCGGACAAATTGTGCAAAGTGACGAGTATGGAGCCCGTAGTTCGAACGTCTACTTGCACAAGCCCCACCTCTTGTGCAAGTCACCTTGCTGACTACATCACGCCTGAAAGAACCTTGCTGCCATATGTCTGCACCATATTGATCACACCAACTGTGCGATCCGCACAGACGGCATCATCGATTACCAGAAAGTCTATGAACAAATAAGGGTATCTACGACGCGGTAATTCACAACGCACGATCTAGTAGTTGTACTTGTAGCAAAGCGTCTCGCCAGCAGTGTCAAGGATATCTCTGATCTTGACATCAGGCTTGAAGCTATAGACATTGATGGTGGAATCGAGCGTCAGTGCGTTACCATCGACGTCTGTGCCGTCAATAGTGGTGGTACGGACAGCAGAGTTCTGGTTCTGCCAGATGCGGAAGTTGCGGTCAATGAAGCCATGGTGAAGCCAGAAAATCTAGGCAATGTTAGAAAAGCTGCGAGGTGTGCGGCTGGCGAGACTTACAGGGTCGGCAGGCGAGGCGTAGACATCCTGCATGACGGCACCAATACCGTTATGGCCCCAGGCGTGAGCACCGCCCTCGGAGCAGCCCGCCATATCCGCGAAAGTAGTGCGCGCGTTGCAGGCATCAACCATCGACTGACCGGTGTTAATGGTCTTAGCGGCATCACCGTTGCGGGCGAGGCAGTGAGGCGTGTTCCCTGAGCCAGGACCAATGTTGATAGCGAGGTTGGCGAATTGCTGCATTCAAAATTAGTTCTCTAGCTCGGAGTGTTGTAGAACGTGGATCTACTTACACCGTCTGTTACACAGGCGCCACCGAGGCCAATGCCACCAAACCACTGGCTTGAGAAGATTGAAGACTGACCAAACTTCCCTGCGTACTTTGTTTCATCGAACCACGGCAAGGTTGCTGTAAGACCACAGCTCTCGCGAAGCTCTGACTCCCATGTCCATAGGAGGTATCTGTGCCAGAGCAAGAACTTGGAGTTGCTGTGAACTCTAGGTGTGAGGGTCTGATGCAGAGCAGTGTAGTCTTCGTAGCGAGACTTGGAGGCTGAAAATTGGCCAGACGGAGCCTTGGCCATCAAGCACTTCAAAGAGTCGACGAAGTTCTGACGATCTCCAGTCGACACTGAATCCCATTCTGTGCGAACACGGACATTGGAACATGTGGCGGCAGCAGCGTTTACGCTCGCTACGCTGACCTTGATATTTTCCTTGTTCGATGAGGCCATGTTGGGCTCAATGAGGCTCTCGAGGCCATCACCGATCGCATCGGTAAGGTCGTGGATCTTGTTGGTGATATTTAATCCAGCAAGAGCTTCCTCGAGGGTCAATGTGTGTCCGGTGGTCTCTTCGAATATGGAAAGAGGGAGCGCCGGAAAGAGCTGTGTCGCTGGGACAGAGTCGGTCGCATCTTGTCTTTTGATGGCGGCGCCTGACACGAGTGTCGCAGCCGATAGGGCTGTGATAGTCGAGAAGTGCATGGCGTGTGATGTCAGGCCAATTGTATTAGGATTATGTGTAGTGTGTCGTGATCAGCGAGTGTGAGTTTGAGCGAGAGTCGACAGGAGGTTGGGATCGCTGCTAGAGTTCCAACCCAGGTCGCCATCGCTCTTTTATCTTGACTTGCCGCGGGCGGCATCACTTTGTTGGCTGAGATGACAGGAGCAGGATCACCTGTCCTAGCTGTACACGACTTTCGACGCCGAATCACGGACCATGGCGGATATAAACCGGGGTCGAAGCTGCAACGTTGTATTGGCAGAGAAGGCGCTTGGTCAAGCAGGCAAGTGATAAGCTTTTTGGACCGGTGTACCAAACCATATCGGGCTCGTGGCTTGTTCTGAGTGCAGGTCACTGCTAGGTTTCACAATTTCCGAGGCGGGGACAAGTTGTAGGCAGCCTCCTTTTGGACCCATCATCAATTTCCCCTGCCGGGTTCCCGCAGCTGATTGCGCAGGATCTGATTGCGACAGCTCGTATCCTGCACGGCAAGTAAAAATAGTCGCATGTGCACCACTCGGAGAATGTTTTGTGGTAGTATGGAGGAACCGTGGAGACCTTCACCGCGACGAAGTCGTGTGCTGCAGGTGTTTGGATCGTCGTTGTTAGCCGCATGACGGGGAACGCGGCGGCTGAGCAATTGCACAACATCACGTAGTTGCATCACAGCACCAGCTGAGAAGACAATAGTCAGGTCGCAACGTTCCTGCAGGGTAGGAACATCAGCCTTGTGTTGGCACTGCATTGCGAGGATTAGCGTTGCCACTGTAATCACCCGGCGAACCTGTGGATCTGCGTGTTTGAGATCCGCAAGCTCCGCCGACTCCATTCAATCATAGCGGAGCAAAGCGTCGTCGACCTGCAGCTTTGCCTGATCCCGCCGTGTCCAATTTGATTGCGCCTTGCCTTTAGCTCATGGTGGCACAAATTACTACGGATGATGTCTCCCGATAATCTCACTTGCGGTGTGATAACGTTCTGTATAGTAGGCTGCCACGCAGATGCTGGAGATGCCGGGAAGATGACCTCAACAAGGTTCCGCGTGGCTGGGAGAGGCCTTGCAAACCGGCGCCGCTATGACGATGTTGCTCACGTGTGTGTGAGCTCACACCGTTGAGGTGGGTAAGAAGATTGGTTGAAAGCCTTTGGCAGAGGGGTGGTTGGTAGAAGGTGGCTTGCCAAAGGGGGCAGGTGGGAGAGAAATGGAGTACAGCATCAATAGTCTAAGACGAACATGTTTCCACGTGCGACAATGCCCTGCATGGCCATGTACGACGCGAGGGACCCGAGCAGGATAGATTGAGGTTGCGTTGGTAAGCGACCTGACCTTCGAGAAAAGAGCCTCACGTGGCGAAGAGGCGATCAGGTTAGGAGCGCTCGTGGAGGATTCCGCATGCGGCTAGTTGCTCGGTGGAGGATGAAGGGCTCACTTGGGCAGCATCACGCGTGCCAGTGCTCACATCTTCCATAGGTAAGTCTCTTTGCCGATGTGCAGGTCTCACAGTCAAGATAAGCTTTCATCGCGGCTCGACCGAGAGGGTGCTCTCACGTTGGACCGCAGTTCAGACTTTAACAGGACCCCACTCCAGACCGCGGTTGCCTGGGAGCTTCAATGCGCCTCGCGAAAAGCTGCCGCTTAGGATATGACCACCCATCCTACACTACATTCACTCACGCCCATAGACATAAGTGTTGCAACGGCATTGCTTCGCCGTCCAGCGCGTCAGTCCCGTGATAGCGTGTCCATTGCGCTACTAAAATATTCCCCGCATCGCATCTGCGCAGCGCTGCTTACCTTGATCTTCAAAAGCCACCGACCGCCACAACTGCCATGACGACCGCTGCAGGAGGAGAGCCGCCAACGCGCAGCTCGCTCGGCATGGCTATGCGCAGCGAGAACCAATACTCATACCGCCTTCCGACGCCGCCACGAGTCGTCGTACCACCTCCCACGCTCTCTATGGACATGCCCGGCCTCGTGGTTGGAAATGCGTCTGGAGGGCTTGACATAGGCTTCCTCAGGGATATGGCCTTGGAGGATATCGTCCAAAAGAACACTCTGATCGAGTGGGCATACGAGCGGCGTCGGCAAGCCCAGATGATCCTCCCGTGGCTGTTTCTGGGGCCAATGGTTGCGTCCAAGGACAAAGCCTTTCTGGCGCGTGAGGGAATCACGATGGTGTTTGCAATCCGGTCCCGCGACGGCAGCATGAGCGGTGCACTGCAAGCCGCGCGCGAAGCTGGCCTTGCTGTGGCTACAATCGAAGCACAAAACTACCACGAATTGATCAAGCGGTTGGGCGACGCCTCAAGAACGATCAACGATCATGTTGCGACCATTCACCAAGCTTCCATACAACAGACGGGTCAGCCCGTTTTCGGCAAGGTACTGGTGTTCTGCGAGTCTGGTAACGAGAAGTCAGCTGCCGTGGTTGCGGCCTATCTGATGGAGATTCTCGACAGCTTTGACTACATTAAAGCAATGCAAGTCTGCCAAGCCCAGCGCTTCTGCGTCAACTTCGACGATACGATCAAGAACATGCTTCGGGCCTATTGGGACATCCTTCAAGCTGCACGCTCGGTCTCAAGCTTCAACGCGCAGCAGTACCAGTCGAACAACGTGTATAACGGTTTTGGTCAAGCTACCTTGCAGCCTCCTCCGCCACCTTCGGCAGCACGATCCAAGCGCTCCATCGAGGATACGCGTGACGATGAAGACATGGAGATGGAGGATGGCCTGGACCCTTCAGATGCCCTGCGCTTCCAAGGTCGTGATAACACCCCCTTTCAGAGCTCTTAGGCAGAGTCTGTCTGTCACCCGAAGTTCATCAAATCCTCATAAGGCGGCGTTCTTACTTTACATGATACCCTGCATGGCTATTGGCGTTTTTTATTCGCAATGCATGTCCAGAGGCACAGCGAGCCTCAGACGCTGCGTATTGCAAGTCAAGAGCCGCGTCTCTTGACTCGGGCATGACTGCAGTCATTCCCGAAGGCGCACCCCTAAATATATATTGTTTGTCTGTATGCACGTTCCTCTTCTCTTCTTGTTGTTCATATTGCGTGTCTCCTCCCTCACGGGAGGACGCGATCTGGTGCTCTGCACACGACAAGGGTCCGCAGATGTCTTTCCACAGTACTTGCCTCGAATAATCCGTATTTTTCCGCCATCTACACTTGCACCACACAGCATGTCCAACCCTGCATTATACACGATGCCTATTGATCCACGGACCCGGGAACGACTACGGATCCCTAAGCGAAAGGAGGATGATAGAGAAGACTCAGTGTTGCCTACCACGGATGCAGTGCATAGCACCACACGTTGCAAGAGTCCGAGGATTTGAGGATCCTGAAAGTCGTCGTCAACACATCGCTGGATTGTTCACCGGGGCGTTCGGGTGGACGCGGCAGGCACAACATACCTAAATAAGTGCTGCTCATCCGCCTCAATGTCTACGTCATCCAAGGCAGATTTACAGATCCAAGGGTTCTTGATGCTGTACAAGAAATATACAGATCATCTCAGGTCGTTTGAAATGCCTCCGGGGTGGGTTAAACGCCACTCTGCGAATATAAAGACGGACTCGGGGCAGCTCGCACCAGCAGCGTTCCTTTCGCTGCCTGTAGATCAGCCGTCTCGGATCGAAACAACTCCATCAGCAAGCGATCCAGCTATTCCGATGGCTGGGGCCTCGATCTCCGTCTCCCTCCGGTTTGCGACTGTTGCGGCCTGCCGTCCGGGACAACTCCTTGGCTGATAGTACGACCACATACAACCCATGATCGATCACCATGGATTGCTCACCTCGAAGCACTTTCCGTCTGCGACGTTGCAGAGAGAAAGGACTGTGGCAAGAGCGAGATTATCTGGGAGCCTTCGCCCTTGAGGGGCCCCGACGAGTCCAGCCCCGTCAACAAGCTCTTGTGGTAGGCTATCGAGGTTTGGTACGCGCTACCTCCAGTGGACCTCAGGAAGGTCAAGTGTGAGGTAGAAGCTGGGTACAAACGTCTCGTCTCCGACGGGACTCTCCAGGATTGCACATCTTCCCCCAAGACTGATCCAAAGACAAATACAATGCTCAGCTACTCGAGTGTCGAGATTCTGACCGCCCGGAGAAAAGTGCTCGAGACGAAGCTTCGCATCCTGAAGTTCAAGAAGGCAAAGCTCCGCTGTATCACCAAAGAAACAAGGTTTCGTAGAGCTTCGGCAATTCCGGATCATTTGTGGAAGATGCAACAACTCACGATTCTAAATCGACGGCTTGCTACGATGGTAAACCAAGCCCTCGACTGTGCCAGGTCTAGGAATTACTCCCTCTCCGTTCATTCGTATCGACGAAAGCTGCCGCTCAAGGGCCTGTTCCGGTCGTTCGTGCCCCACGGTAGTACCCTCCCAACCTCTAGGCACAGTCAGGATCAGGACTGGAAACAGACTGTTCGTATTGGCACGAAGGGTAAAGGCCGACTTCCTCACTTCCTAATGCCTTCTTCAGTGGAAATTTGGCCGCATTCTCCCCATGTGTCACTGTCTAGGTGGCAGGACTGGCCTACTCCTGAGAAGAATGCAGAGCCAGATCACGATTCAGACGCGACTGACGTGAGCGACTAGTTGCCATCCTGTTTCTGGGAGATTTGTGCGACTGCTTGGAATCAGAATTGCGTTCTGCGGGATATTGGGTCGTCTCGGCAAACAGATTCGGCAGAGTGGAGTGTCGTTGTGAAGGAACTCGTCTTCTGTTTCTGCGTTGTTACTGCCCTCTCTACTTCTGCGCGAGAGTAGTGCACCAACGCACGAACCCATTTACTGTTTCATTAATCGTACACTACGCTGTAGGAGAGGTAATAATTCATCAACGCCACATTTCGTCACTATGTGGTTTGTTTTTTGGATCCACATTTTCATTGTCGAGTCGGTGCATACTTGAAAAAAGACAAGGTCCCAACCGTCACGTATGTCGAATGAATAATTTAGCGCTCCCACTCAGCAAGCTACGCTGCTCTAACCATGGTTGTATTCATCTCATTGGATTCCACTTCTGTCGTAAATATCACTTGCTAGTGCCGCACCGTCTTTTTTGACAGAATCTTGTTAAACACTTCCGCGTCTTCTTGTTAAGAACAACACTGATTTGCTGTATCGACTACTCTTGAGTGCTAACCATAGTGCAACATAGCTCGCGTTGGAGTCAGACCAGAACAATTCAGGCAGACAAGGCCATCCCGACTAGCCTCTGTGAATCAGCATGCCTCCACTAGTTGAGGCTCTTCTACCACACCTGTTAGGCTGGCGGTTCTTGAAAGAAGTTCATAGCATTTTCACATATCAATGCGCAGCTCCGAGGGTTACAAGTTGACTAATATAACATCGGAGTCTGCCGCGAAGTGTCTCCCCCGAAACGCCGTGTCGAGCACATGAATATATAAATTTTACAAGCGCGAGAGGTGTTCCTCCAATGTATCCTCCGTGTCCATGGGCGCTCCGAACTCAGAACAGCATTCGTGCCGGATCTATCTTCTCGTCGTTTCCCTTGTTCGGGCCCACGGGACTCGTTGCAGCGAAGAATAGCACCTTGATCGCAATCGCGAAGCCAGCGTGCAGCGCCAGGACGACCACGAGCAGGATCTTGCTTGTCTTGTTCTCGGTCGTCGAGAGTACGGGGTACAGGTTTCGGAGCAAGAAGGTTGCGGAGAACGCCAGGCCGAGGGCAACGAACGTGTAGTTAAGGACTGCTCTCATTAGCACAATACAATATGACCGGAGACGTGAGGACTTACTTGAAATCGGACTCCAGCTCACCAGCGCAACTATAATCCACACCAAATTCGCGTACCCATATAGACACGCGCACTCGAGCAGATTCGCACTCTCACTCCCATACCACTTCAACACGCCCCACAATGCCACAGGCACGAACGCGGTGTATCCATACACCAAGCCGGCAGCCCCACTCAGTAGTTTGAAATCATACGCGAAATGATCTTTCCCCTGGTGGGCCAGGTACTGGTTGATCGTCCCCGTCAAGAAGAGGATTACCACAACCGTCGTCGCAATCCACACGGGGCCGTACAAGTCGGGGTTTCCCTCGAGCACGTCGAGGAAGTTGGCGCGCGGGTATATGGTGGCCGTGCAGCGGCGCAGGACCTCATTTGTGTCGACGTCGAAGGCTTGCGCGTAGAAGGAGAGTGTCCAGAGGAGGTGTTTGCGCGACCCGGACGCGGAGGCGGTTGCGGGTTGTGGGAGAAAGGAGGAGTCGGGTTGGATCTTTGCGCCGCGCGAGGGCATTGTTTCGAAGTCTGCGAGGAGTATTAGATGGGAAGTATAGGCATCGTGGTAGGCGTACTGGAGCTGTGGAATTCAAGGTCCTCTTGCAGGTCGGTGTGGCCTAGGTCGCCCTGGGAGGGGATTAGCAACGGGGTTCACGTCTGTACAAGAATCTAGCCAACCTCTTGGTCGACGTCGACGACGACATCGTAGCCTCTGTTTGCCATGCTGGGTGTGTTTGAAGCTGGCCGTGACTTGAGCTTGCTACAGCTCTAGCTGCCAGATTGCCGTTGTTGACGTTACGCGTGTCACTAGGGTCCAGGTTCTGATTGGCTGCATGAGAGCCCTCGCATCGTCAGACTCTTGCCCCATCGAGCATTATGATTCAACGCACAGCCGTTTGAGCGATTTATGGATATCCATGAGAACAAAACTAATTTCAAAGAAATTATGAAGCTATCCACCAGTCCACGGGTCTACTTGAGCCATCCAGACATACCAATGTTTAAGACATTCGCCTCGATGCTACATCATAACTACATCTATGGGGCAGGCTCATCCTCGGGAACCAGCGGCTCGACATTCCAGATGCTTTCAGCATACTCGTCGATACACCTGTCGCTGGTGAAGAAACCCATACGGGCGACCGTCAAGATGGTCTTTGTTGTCCACTCCTCAGTATTCTTGTAGCTCTCGTCGATCGCTTCCTGGGTCTTGATGTAGGAGTCGAAGTCGTCAGACACGAGGTAGTAGTCACCGTGATCGACGATGCCATTCAGCAGTGCCGAGAATCGCTCTGCATCGCCGAACGTGCCCTTGTGGATGTGGTCAAAGACATTGGCGAGCTGGGGCTCGAGCTCGTAGTGCTTGTACAAGTGGGCGTGACGAAGGTCCTCAACATCCTCAGAAAGGTTGCCGAAGAGGAAGATGTTCTCCTCGCCAATTTCGCGGGTGATCTCGATGTTGGCACCGTCGCAAGTACCAATGATGAGACCCCCGTTGAGACAAAACTTCATGTTACTTGTACCACTGGCTTCAGTACCGGCAGTGGAGATGTGCTCGCTGATATCGCTGGCAGGGACGATAATCTCGGCCTTGCTGACGTTGTAGTCCTCAAGGAAGATGACCTTGAGCAGGTCACCGACGTCCTTGTCGTTGTTGACAACCTCTCCGACCTTGTTGATAAGGTGAATGACGGTCTTAGCCATCCAGTAACCAGGCGCAGCCTTTCCACCGAAGATCGAGACACGCGGGGCGAGCTTCTTCCTCTCCTCGGGCGACATGGCCTTGATTTGGAGGTAGCGGTGGATGACACCGAAGATGTTGAGCTGCTGGCGCTTGTACTCATGGATACGCTTGACCTGGACATCGAAAAGAGCCGCCGGGTTGACCTTGACACCGTTGTGCTCCGCGATATGTTGGGCGAGACGAACCTTGGCAGCGTATTAGTGAAAAGTCCTCAGAATGCCGCCCGGGTTCGAAATTACCTTATTCTCATATTTTATTTCTCGGAACTCTTTCCTGAACTCCTTGTCATCGACGAAGGCCTCAAGCTTGTGCAGCAGGGTCAGATCCTTCAAGAACTCGTGACCACCAAGCTTGGAAGCAATGAGCTTAGAAAGCCTGGGGTTGGCCTGGTGCAGCCATCTGCGCGGTGTGATACCGTTTGTGACATTCGTGAACTTGTCAGGTCCGTAGATCTTGACAAAGTCCTTGAAGATAGTAGTCTTGATCAGATCGGAGTGTAGCTCGGCCACACCGTTGACCTTATGGGAACCAATCAAGGCGAGGTAGGCCATGCGAACCATCTTTGGCTGCGATTCCTCAACGATGGAGACCCTGCCAAGAAGCTCACGATCATTAGGAAAGTTGCGCTCGACGAACTGCAAGAAGTTGAGGTTGATGTCGAAGATAATCTTTTTAAGTTAGCATTCCAACTTCGGCTTCGGGGTCTTTAAGCTTACCTGAAGGTGGCGGGGCAAGAGGTGCTGCATCAGAGGGACTGACCACTTCTCGAGCGCCTCAGGCAGGACTGTGTGGTTGGTGTAGCCAAATGTCTTCTGCACAACTGCGATATGTCAGTCGCACCAAAGCCTGTATACCGTCAGATGACTTACTGCTCCATGCATCATCCCAATCCAAGCCCTCAATATCAACCAGAATTCTCTGAAGCTCAGGAATGGCCAATGTCGGATGAGTGTCGTTCAGCTGGATAGCGACCTGGTTAGGGAACTCCTTCCAGGCACGCTTGCTCTTCTTGAACCGGCGCACGATGTCGTAGAGCGAGGCAGCACACCAGAAGTACTGCTGCTTGAGCCGAAGTTCCTTTCCACGCTCGAGGTTGTCGTTGGGGTACAGAACAGCCGAGATGGTTTCCGCACGCTGCTGGTCCGCTACGGAGCTCTCGTACTCGCCAGAGTTGAACTTCTGAAAATCGAACTCCCCGCTGGCAGCCTTGCTGCCCCAGAGACGAAGGTTGTTGCATGTGCCGGTCTTGTAGCCAGGAATTGGGACGTCATAAGCCACAGCCTGTACTATCTCGCCACCCTCCCAGGATGACTGCTGCTTGCCATCGTCATCCTGCCAGCGGTTCACATGACCGTAGAACTGGATGTCGACTGTGATGTCGTGTCTCTGGAACTCCCAGGGGTTGAAGTCGAGCCAATAGTCTGGGACCTCGACTTGGTATCCATCCACGATCTCCTGCTTGAAGATACCGTATCTGTAACGGAGACCGTAGCCCCATGCTGGGATGTTCAACGACGCCATCGAGTCGAGGAAGCAAGCGGCGAGACGACCAAGACCTCCGTTTCCCAGGGCAGCGTCATGCTCCTGCGAAATGACATCCTCCATGCGGAAACCAAGGTCAGCGAGACCCTCTGCGAACGTGTTAGCGATATCAATGGCTCTCCGTTGGAGGTGGTCACTCACTGGCAGCGATATCCTTCGACTCGACGTTAAGCATAGCATTGTCCAAAGCACGTCCCATCAAAAATTCAAGAGACAAGTCTGTTCATGTCAGTCAATTCCATTTCCCGCCGACAAATCTTGGTCATCTTACAGTATACACGCTTCGGATCAGCGAATGTCTGGCTCTGCTGTGTCTTGTTCCAGTCCAGGACCAGGCGATCTCTGAACGCCAGGGCGGTTCCACCATACGCAGCCGACTCATCGCAGTTGAACAGCGAGCGCGCAAGGGTAGTTTCGATATGACGGACTGCCTCCTTGCTGAACTCGTCCGGTGTGGAGAAAGGCTTGGGCATCTGTAGTCTTATCAGTACCCCACAGTCGATTGGAGCTACCCCGCAATCGAGGTACTCAGCGGCTCGACTTACGAATTTCCTCCATGCCTCACGCTGGGGCTCTGGGATGCTGTTCTCGACAGCCTTGATCTCACCGGGACCGAAACCGGTCACTGTCCTCTTGTGCTTCGGACGAGTGAAGTTGGCTGGCCCGACGGGACCTTGGAGATCTGCGAGCGGGGCGCTGGTCGAGGGACGGCGCTCGCGAGGCGAAGGGGTCGAAGTCGCCATCTTGAGGATGTCAATTGCAGAGAAAGGCGAATTGCTAAGTGAATGTCGGTGTCGCACAGGAGAGGGAGGGGTTGAAGGACGAATTGTGGAGGAGAGGAGGGAGGAGAGGTATGTTGAGGAAGCGCCGGAAGCTTAGGGAGGAGGATGCAAGCTTAGCAAGCCTGTATACTCGCGTGGTGATGCAAGTGTTTACCGAACAATATAGCAACGGGTGTTTCGCCGCAAGAACGAGAGCTCAGAACAGGCAGACAGCAGGAGCGAGGCACAGTCACAGGTCAATTAACATTGGGAGATACTGACGACCTTCATCAAACGCGGGGGAGCGATCGAGGCTGACAGCTAGCAACAGCTGTTGAGCTGCAGCTTGATGCAAGTGGGGTAGCCGGACCTCACGCCAGCCACAAGAGACCAAACCTCGAGTTTTAAGCGGCTGGCTAACTCGACTGAGGGTGCATTCTGAGGAATTGATAGAGCGCTACGCGTTTCAGGCATAAAGAAGGCGGGGACCTTGGCATGGCCAGAAGTCGGTGGTGTGATGGAGGGGAAAGAAGGTGACGTCGGTGGATGCTGAACGCAGAGGAAATATCGGTGTGCGCTGTGCGGCTCTTGGCGGGAGGAGTAATTACAGGAGCGGAGCCTGCTGAACTGATTCGTGTACATCATGTCAGCCTTGCGTATATGGTCAAGTCACGAAGCGAATCTGTGATATATAAGGGGTGTGTAGTATGATGTTAAATGTATTATTGTGCAATGCTGCGCTACAAGATGCTAGATGGTGCAATGGGAATGGACTACCGGGTACAGTGGGTATCGTGCAAACAATGCCAAATCATGCAACAAATGAGGTCAATGCGCTGACCATTGGAGCCAAAGAGCGCCGATGAACGCCTGAATGCTGATGCTGCTGAAATTCGGAGTGACTGGATGTGTTGGAACAATGTGGGTATCGTAAGCGCTGCAAGAGAAGCGAAGCCAACGCTCAAGGCGAAGAAGGCGATGCAAAAATGGAAAGACACCTAAGGACTAGGCTCCGGTGTCTGGACGCCATTCTTCCACATTGCTGTGCCCGACAGATCAATGGAAAAATTTCGACGACGGTCGGCTTTGATAGTGTCAGTCTCGCTGGCCAGGCTTGCTGGCCTGGTACGCTGCATGTCTCGCAGCATGCTCTCCATCATGCCCTCAGTGATACGACAAAGACCGTAATCCATGTCGTGAAGGATCGAACGCTTGGTGGCTTCAAGCTCCTGAATAGTGAACTGGTCACGACTTATGCCTACTGCCCAGTAGTGGGCTGAACGACGAGTATCGCTGAAGAAACCATGTGCGAGAGACAGGGCAGCGAGGACAAGTATATCTGGGCTGACGAAGGCATGATGACATATGTCAGTCTCCATGAAATACTTCAAGTCCCTGACATAATTGGACGGCAGCAGGGTTTCCCGCCACGTCGCAGCGAAGCGGTACGAAAGTGTGTCAAGGATACAGGCAGCGAAGGCCACAACCTCGTCTTGCAGATATGATCGTTCCAGAATCCCGCGGATGCCAGGCACAGAAGGTCGAATTGTGGAGGCATTCAACAATACGAGGTTGGCAAGATGGGTCGCTTGTGCTAAAGATAGTAGTCAGCATTCGTGTCCAATAAGTGTGGCGAGTAGGGCAAGCATTGACGGGAGAACACATCGATCGACAGGAACACCGTGGAATGTGGGTTTCGAAAGAAAAGGAGATTGGACTGCCATGACGTCGCGCGAGTTAGGCCGTGCCAGCATGCAGGGGAACGTCGCTCAGCCGAGCAAATTCCACATGTCCAAGACCAACAACAAACTTGTCATTGACTGGAAATGTTGCATGTGTAATTGTGCGATGTTGAATTGTTGGAAAACTTACCGTGTTGTTCAGGAGCAAATTCTTGTAAGTCTGACGAAGCTGATGTTGACTTCCCGATGGTCGTGTGCTCCTTAGCTGGGGGAGGGGTTGGCAGGTTGGAGAGAGAGCCGCAGGATGCAAAGTAGAGGTCCAGCTCCTCATCGGTCATGTCGCTGGTAATCGAGAAAGCTGGCGAGAGTTCCATTTTGAGTTCGATAGTCGTCGTGGTCTTTGCGGTTTGCGGTTTGTTTCAATAGTCGCGGATTCAGGGCTTCTTGTACAGCGAAGGTTGATGTGGTGTTGCTCGAACGATCATTCCAGTGTTTCGTTTGTCGAGATGTAAAGTCAAGGATCGAAACGTCGTGGTGGCTTGATAACAGTCTGCGAAGGGAGTAGAATAAAAGGCCTGACAACGAGGGCATCCACAGTATTATATACTGCTGTCCCAAAAAGACGACAGTATTCGAAACGGTGAAGCGGCTGACAGGGCGCTCACTAGCTCCGTGTAGCTCCTTAACCCGTAGCGGTCTCCCTGCCGCAACACCAAGCCTTACCTGAATACCTAGCGCGCTAGGCAGTGCAGTAGGGGGCCATGCAAGCGAAAATTGAATGTTCGGGCGGCAGCCGTGCCGTCAGATGTGCGGTACGCAATTGTGGATGCCCAAGAGTGTGCGAGGCTGTCAGAGCCGTCAGTAGTGAAAGATGGTGGACGAACTGCATTGGAGCTTCCCCTTCCGGCAGCCACAAGTGCAGCACCCCGCACAGGAATGCTCTTGCCATGGCGCGATCTCACACACAACGACGCGATACCAATCTACCTATCTTGATGGTTCTCCAGATCTGCATTCCAAGCTGCTACTGTACGAAGTACCGGACAAGGTTTGGTTGATCGCATGAAAGCTTCGCCTAAGGCCGCCCGCCCGTCTCGTCCACCGGTGGGTAAAGGGTCTTCAAGGTGTCGATGACAATGTCCGCCATTTACCCACTCATCTGCACCACTTCCACTGGAAAGACGGATGAGGAATGTTTCACATCGTCAAGCGGCCGTTCTGCATCGCCGTCAACACCATGTCACCATCACGCCACGCACGTACTTACGGCACCCACCCGAGCATAGCAACCGGCGAACAGCGAACAGGTCCGACTCCAACGCACTCACCGCCAACTCACGTCAACTGGTCTGCCTCCGCGCGGCGGTGCAGCGGCGTCTGTGAAGCGCGGACGCGTGCGTATACGGGGGCTCGGGCGTGTTGTACACCCGTATGCTCCTCTTTCTCAAGCACACACCTCCACACCAAGCCGCCAACGGCTACGTACCCGCCTGCTAACCCTCAAGTTGACGATATCCACACGCACATTCTTGCGCCAGTCCCTAAACGCAGCATGGGTGTGGTGTTTCTGGGTGCACAGCGACTCATAGGAGATCTTGCAGCCTGTCGTAGGATTTATGGTGAGAGGAACGTGCTTCGCTTCAATCATTCAATGTTCCGAGATCCTTCACATGCCTGTGAGATGCGCTGGCCCATATTACAGACCCATTGCGCTAGCTGAAGGAAGCACGAAGACACAACGATGGGACCGAATCGTCTACAAAGCCGTGAGAGCGAGTCCCTTGGGTGTGCGTGCTGACAGGAGCGTTCTGCACATTGGTGAACATTGCTTTCGACATCCGGGATCCTGCACTGTGCTGCAGCCTGCAGGTTGTGTTGAGGCCTGTCCCTCCATGTCATAGACTTTGCCTCTCGAACAACGTGGAAGCAAGACGTGGAAGCGAACGCTCAAATGTGCTCCACGGAAGCAGTCATCTGGGCCTCGCCCAAACCCACAGATGTGCATTGCATCTGCAACGGCAAGAGACATGTCCAGATCAAGGAACAAGAACTCCACTCCAGTTCCACCCGCATACTCCACAATGTTTTCGATCCTTCTGTTGAGCATCTCGATCACGCAGAGAGGACCTGAAGCACAGGCACACAAAGTCGCAAGGCTATCAGTCCTGCACATCTTCGAAGCTTCCAGCCAGCTTGCAACCAGCCAGCTTGCAAGAGTGTCTCATCTGTAGAATTTACTTCACAATATTGATGTCTGTAATTCAAAGACCTGCGAGCATCTTAACCTGCAATGATGTGATCATCATCGCATCCACTGAAGGGCCTTACAAAGCCCTGCATATCGCCAACCGGCATCTCGCGGTCGAAGCCTCCAGCCAGTCCACAAGTCTACAAGCTCACGGCAAGCTCCACGACAAGCTCGACTCGAATGTTCTGACACGCGCCTCCCACATCATCGCACATCGCGTCCAGACTTACCGACGCTATTCATCAACATTATGCGCTTCAAGTTGGGCTCCAGTTCGATTCAAGCCAAAATGCGCAAGCAAAGGCGACCATTGTACGTCAGTGTTAGTTTGTGGGAGCTAGTGAGACACAGCCGAAAAGCCTTTTAGGTGTGTGCGACTTTTAGCACGGCAGTTGAGTGTAGCGCGTGAACAGAAACACCGTATTTCGCTTCCCTATGCCGTCTTCTGGGTTGTCGTGTGAGCAGATGAACGGCGTGAGACATCGCTATGGGCGTTGTATCGATAGGTCAGCCTCCACAGCTCCTGTACAGCCGTAAATGCAAGGGCTGGCGAACGTGTGGAAAGTGGGTGCGGCTGAATATATGCTCTGACCCGTTTGTGCGTAGTGAAACGTTGGAGTATCAGAAATAACATATTCAATTGCAAAGAACGCCACTCTACAGCTACGAAAATGCTCAGAGGTATATCCTGGTTACACATGGATAGCAATGCAGACCAATCCGACTTCAGCTCCGTTCTGTCATGCTCGCCATGAGCAGAGGACCGCTCACTTTTCAACATATCCATGAACGCACTCGTTCGTTATCCATTCCAACTTTCGACTCTCAATTTTGTGGCGACCGTATAGCTCATACGTCATAACTTGTCATACCTCAGACCTCCAACGTGCTCTTAGCACCGCGAGTCATCAAAGGCAGGTCGTTGTCGCACGCATGTCGAAGCGCTTACTGGGCCTTCTTGGGAGCAGCGCCCTGCTGCGCGCCGACGTACTTGCGGATGTCGGTCGCGTCAGCAGCCTGACGAACGATGTTCTTGAAGGTTGCCCAGCCCTGGCGAGCAGCGGGAGGGGTGCTCTGATTGGCAAGCTGAGCATCAATGCGGCCAGTAACCTGGTTGATGGCGTCCTGGACAAAGCTGCTCTGAGCGTAGCGGGCGCGGAAGAAGACGGTGTAGACGGCGAGCAGGATCCACGAGCCCTTCTGGAGGATGAGAGCGGAGCCAACAACGCGGAACCAGAGAGCGATCTCGAGAAGTGCGACCAAGGTCATGCTAGCATCGTAATACTCCTTCACGAACTTGCCAATAGTCTCGGCGAAAGCCGAAGAAGTGGGCTTAGCGCCAGGCGCCGAAGCAGTAGGCTGAGGCTTGATAGTAGGGATCAAGTTGGAGCGCACGTAGGTCGCAACGTGGAAGATGGAGTAGACTGTGAAAGGCAACAGAGCCAGAGGGATCTGGCGCATGAACAGCCAGACGAGCGCCATGACTAAGGTGCTGTTAGCTTGTGCTGCAAAGTTGCTGAGAGCTCCATATGCTGCGAAAACTTACTCAGGTACTGGACGTTCTCATCGGTGGCCAGGGCCATGACGCCGCCCTGCTTGCCGGCCCTCATGCGGGCGCGGTACGCCTTGTAGACAACAATACCATATGTGACACAAGCGGAAACGAAGCCTGTGCGGTACGCAAAGGCGGCCCACGCAGAGTTGTAGTTGAAGGTAATGTAGGAAAGACCGTATCTCAGCGACGCCAGCAGCAGAGTAACGTGGCCGGCGAACCACGCGAACTGGAGGGTCTGCGCAAGCGCAGCCAGGCGCTGGCCCAGAGGAAGATTGGCAGGCGGAGGAGGGGCCATTGCGGGATTTCGACTGTGTCGTGTGGGCTACGTAATGTGCAGCTTATACAGTCAGCGAAGCTCAGGGTAAAGACTGCTATGTGCAAGGCGCAGAACCAATGGTACTCGAGCTTTTACAGGGCAGTTGAGGGTATTGCGGAGGGGTCGAGTGCAATCTGGCAAGAAGCGGAGGCTGGCGCTGTCTGTTCGGCGCTCGGGACCCGCTGCTGCTGCTTATGACGCCGCTCCCTGTGCGTAACCCAATGAGTGCAACTTACCGAAGACGAAGAGATGATAGACCCCAAATTGGAGTTCAACAGTTGAATGAGGCAAATTATATGCGGAGGATGAGGTTGTATGAAGAGGAATGGGCGATCAACTTTTGTAGCTTCAAGCCGGGCACGTAAACCAGGTCGTGGGCGTTTGGGGTGATGACGGAATGCTGTTCGCGCTTCCACTTCCAGCTGTTGGCTGGCGTGCACGAGCCTGATAGCGCCCTTCCACGCCTGCCGCACCCTGACGATCGTCAAAGGCGCAGGGCAGGGCAAACGTGTGAGCCTTGGAAGGCTGAGGCGAGAGCTTTCGTAATAATGATCATTCACTCAGCGCATGTCGAAAGATCCAGTTCACTACTCACAAAGGAAATTCTCGCTACGATGGTTGTAGAATACATGAAAAGAAGTATCCTGTCGCTCCCCCACGTCGCCCGAGAACAACTGCCCCATGTACTAAATAATAAAAGAGTTGAAGGGAACACAAGGGAACCGGAAGGCGCGCAATGATGTTGGTATCAATCAACAGCCGGGGATATCTGGACCAAGAGACGACACCGCTGCCTTTTCCCGCCAAAACCACACCGCCGTGAATTAGTCGTCTGTCGATAACACCCAGTGGTATCGTCAAGCGGCATCATATTAAACAAGTCTGTAAGAGGGAGGAGAGAAAGAAGCGGGGGGTATAAGCCGAGCAGGACGTCAAGACGTACTGACACCAAGGAGACGGGCTTAACGAAGGGAGAAACCCTTCCTCTTGCCCTTCTCTTCCAGCGGCCGGCCGGACTCGATGCGTGCCTTCTTCTCATCGAGCTCCGATCGTTGTCTGTCGAGCTGGTCCTTCATCTCCTTGTGACGGGCGTACAGCTCTTCTTCGCTCTGTCGCAGTTTGCTCTCCTTCTCGTTGACCTTCTGCTGGAAGACCATCTTCATCTCCATCTCCATCTTCTGGAGTTTCTGCTCGTGCAAAGAGCGCTCCTCCTCCTGCTTGACCGCAGGGTTGACCTCCTTGAACACGCTGGAATCTTGCTGGACGCCCATAGCTGTGAGCTTTTCAGAACGGTAGTTCTCATAGAGCATGTTGTTGGTGTTCTCCTTGAGCTCCTCCATGTGGGTACGAATGAGCATCTGTCGCAGCTTGACGAAATCGCAGTGCTCCTCGTTGTCGACTTCAACAACACCCCATGGCATGGCACGACCACGGACCTTGCGGCCATCAGCCGTGATAACCTCGTCGTTGGAACCAACAACAGCGAAGGGAACCTTGGCCATGATCTCCTGATTCTCGGCAATTGTCTCTTCATCGTCGAGCTCGTATCGTGGCCCTTCGAAGATCCGGATGCCGTGGTGCTTGATGTCTGCGAGGATCTCGTAATTGTCAGTATAAACGCAGTTTTGTTTCTGGGCAGAGTCTTACCCTCTTCTTGAAGTTGTCGATCTCGTCGTCGGATACTGTGTCAGCCTTGGCAACAACTGGGATCAGGTTGACCTTGGTGTGCAGCTTCTTCATGACCTCGACATCGAGCGGCTTGAGCGAGTGTCCAGTAGGCTGGATGAAGTACACAACAGCGTGGATGCGGTTGTCAACTATGTTCATGCGGTTGACCTTGTTCTCGGCGTCCAGGTAGGCGTCAAATCGTGCCTCAATGTTCTTAACGATGGGGTCCCACGATTCATCGTTGTTGATGAAGTCGCCGAAACCAGGCGTGTCGACCACGGTCAATCGCAGACGAACGCCGTTCTCCTCGATGTCGGCGCTGATAGACTGTATGGAAACAGTCTTAGAAATGTCGATGCTCGGGGGCTTGCGCTCCTTCGGCGGGTAGAGGGAGGTGTTGAACAGTGTGTTCACGAGGGTGGACTTTCCGAGGCCAGATTCACCTGTTTTTCGATTAGTGCACCGCTGGCGGCTCATTGACTTGGTGCAGACTTACCAACGACCATGACGTTGAAGTTGAAACCCTTGCGCACACTCTTGCGGTGCCACTGGTTGGGCAGGTTTGCAAAACCGACATAGCCTGTGAGCTTTCTACGCACGATGTTCAGGTCCTGCGCCATCTGTGCTGCAAGCTTGGGGTTCTTCGCTGTGATGGTCTGGGGTGTTGCTGCTAGGTTGTTAGCCATGGCGAATGTGCGATCCACAATAGACGGACCGTTCGCGGTTGTTGGTGGTGATGGGGACGCACGCGAAGGAGGAGCGGGCGATACGGCGCCGTTGGATTCTGTGTTTACGGTTAGCCGTTAGCCCCTGTGTGTGGGAAGGAGGGTGGTTGCGGCCGTTGGGGACGGCAACATCAACCGGTGTCAGAGCGGCATTGAGTTTGTTGCACGCCCCCTCCGCTGTAGCATGTATGCCTAGAGCCGTAAGGGAGATTGCAGCTCAAGCAGCTGCCGTAGACGCGGGAGATGAGGGCTGGGGGGTTCTTTACCCATGGCGGCGGTGCGAGCTGCGGTCGCAGTGAGAACGGTGTGAAGTGAGAGGCGTCTGTTGGGCGATGCGTGATCAGCAGAATGTCTTCAAAGCGTGGAGCGGCTGCCCGTGGTTTCTGCCAAACAATCTGGAGACGCGACGCAAGCCAAACCCCGGAGAAATAAAGTGAAACAAGGAGGACGTAGGGCGAGGCGGCGTACCGGTCGACGTTAGCTATGCTTTCGCGTACAGCGATGCTCTCTGAGCAATGGAATTGGGAGGCTGCAGGTGACTGCGAGCGTGAACAGCGTGGGTGCGTGGATGCTGCGACGTTGAAGGAGGCAGGCTTGACCAGACCCCTTTCCACCAGCGAAGCGTACTCGCAGGGATTGGAGAGCAATGTTGACGCTAAGCCAAATTCCCCGCTCAGTGAGCCACGGTTGGTACAGTCGAGAAGAAAAGTGGAATTGGTGCAGAGCGCGCAGTAGATGTCGTCTGGCGGCTGCAGAGTGCAATTGACAGCTTGCACGTCGATGTGGGATGATTCTTGTATTTTCGTGCCTCGAGTGGCAGTCGCGCACCACAGGGCTCGAAAAGGAAGCTGTCACGTGCACACTGTGCCACAACATCAAGAACATGGAAATTACACCCCAGCGATCGGCGCGCAAAAGGGATGTGCTTCCTCACAGCATTACACTCAAAGGAGCAGACGGATTGCACATAGGTACGGTGTGCTACCTTCGCATCTTACTATTCTCTCTGCTTCTGGCCTACCGTGCGTGGCTCTTTAATGCACCATCTTCGGTCCCAATGATGTATAACTTATATATCCAACTCCTGTCGCATGCATGGTCGCCTATCCAGTGCCCACCTCGATTCAATGAAAAAAACGCAAACGCAGGGTATTGTGCGAAAAGTCCAATCCAATGCCAAAGACAATGCATCAAGCGAAACTTGTGAGCGCCTTGTTGAGCTCGACTTTGTCGTACTTGACATACTTGCCCTTGCCCTTATCAATCTCGCGGTACTTATCGTAGAAGCGATTATAGAGGGGCTCGATGATGTTCTGCACTTCCTTCGACAATGCCGAACGCACCTCGGCCTCCATGGCGTACGTCTTGTGGCGCGCGACTAAATCTTCGAAGATGGTGTTGAAATTCTTGAACTTCTCTTTGATCGCGTCCTTGTCCTTAGACCCAAGACCCTTCACAATGGCTGCGGAGTCGGCTGCCCCGCCACCAGAGTGTGGCCGATCCTTGGAGCGATTCGTGTACTGCACGTCTAACAGATGACCTGACGGCTCTCGCCAGGCTTCGAGATACATGGCTGAGCTCGTCTTGCGCCAGGCTTGAAGCTTTCCTGCATAGCTTTCCATGAGTGGAGCAAGCTCGGAATTGCGAACGACTCGAGTGACAATAGCTATGTTGTTCGCCAGAAAGATGCCCTGCAGGGTCTTGCCCTTCAACAAGATCTTCGCTTTGCTCATGAGGTTTTGGATCAGGGTGTCGATTGTGTCAGACGCATACGACGCGAACAGCTTGACCACATCAGGGCTGACATCAAGGGTCGTTGATGATGTATTTGCAGAAGGGTTGTTCCACCCGCCTTCACCCAATGATGCCAGTATCGAAGATAATGGGTCCAAATAGTTGGGCATTTCCTGCAGGCGGCGCATGGTCTCTGTTGTGATTGGAACAGCCGCTCCGTCCATCGGTAGGGCAACGAGCGTTTGCGTGCGCACTCTGGTATCTTCGATCAGCTTGCTTAAGGAGGTTTTTGACGTCTCGCGAATGGGCTTGACGCTGTCATAGATTTGACCTTTGAGTGTGCCAGTGGATTCTTGTAGGCGTATAGACAACGTGCGTACCATGCCGCAGATCTCGTACCCGAGGAAGCAGTCGGTAAGGAGATTTTTCTGAATGTGGCCGTTCAGCTCACGTAGTGTCCGGCTGAATTCTGCCAAAGAGGGCTGGCAGGTCGCCTCGCAAACTGGCATCCATTCAGGCCGCGCGAAAACGTTGGAGATATTATCGTACTCAGCAACGAAGATTCCCTCGATCGCCTGCACGTATGTGCCAATCCCGTTCTGCCCTTTCTTGTACAGTGCATCAGGCTGCACTTTCCTGGCTGTAGCGACTGAAGCCTGAGCCAGGCTGCCCAACGAGCTTTCCAGGTAGCTGCCTCGAATGTCTGCGTATTTCCTCTGTGTTGGCGTTGTAGACAAGTCCGCCTGCGATGTGGAAGCAACAGCTTGGGAGATATGATTGTTGATACCGCGCAGAGTCGACAGCTTCTCCCCCGGTAGGTGTGGAAACGGCTCGTTCTTCGCAACAAATTCCAGGGCCTGGAGCTTCGTTCTCGAACAATCTTCCAGTATGCTCCGGAATACGTCCTCCAGTTGCTTGTTTCCTAGTTTCAGGAGGCCGTTCAATTGCGCGATCGCCTGTTCGTTTGATCGAAGATTCGTGCGCTTCAGGTCGGCGAGTGCCATTGTGGTCCGGTCGAGAGATGCAATGTAGTCGCGAAGGTCGCCTCGTCCGGGCCTGTGCTATGTCAGTCCTGATACTCCTGTCCGACAGCTTCTTCGTACCCAGCTCTGATGATCCTCTCCTCGCGCTCGCTCTGATCTCTCGGCGCCCTGAGTCTCTCAATTGCCTCAATCACCCTATCGATGTTGCTTGTCGCAATCTGGAGTTTCTGTGTGTTGCCGTATATTGGGCTGATTGCATCTTGCACTGCTTTCCCGCTGGCATCGAGTCTGTTGACAGACGCTTGGATCTTCTTCGTGAGCGTCTTCATCTTGTCCATGTTGGCGTAGAGTACCTCGACCTCGGCGCTTTCTTCGGCCAGAGCCGGGGGTTTGCGCGGGCCCACCATCGTGGCGGGAGGGCGCCTGCCTGCGAGATTTTGAGAGAAGAGGTATGAGGGGATGCGCCTGCCTTAGGTAGGGACGCTGGACCCGTGGCAGCTACAAGCGATCGTGAGGGCTGTCGTGACCGCGGGGGCCAGATATGGTAGTCTATAAATGTGGCAACATATACAAAGAACAGAAAGTACAAATTAGGGCGTAGATTATGAAGGAGGATGGTTAGTGTGGTAATGCTTGCGGAGAGCTGCGGGAGATTGGAGCTATGACGAACAAGGGTCGACGTGAGGCGCACGGTGCAATGAACCATCCCTCGACCACTCATCTTTCGCAGAGATGCAATTTGTCTCTTGCACACCAGCAATGCGTTTCACAGCCGTGAGGCTCTCAAAATACTCATTCTGGTACTGAGACGCTGCAAGGATTGGAGGGGCAAGCTACTGAGTGTAGCGTCCTCCAGCGAGGCTATCGAGCTGTCAAAGTAGCGGAGTGTTTCCGGTCGCTGTCAATGCCGCTGTCAGACGTGCGAGACCTATCAAAGCTATTGAGCGACGAAAACGATGGATCAAAATACAAAATGGCGCCTGGAGGTAAACGAGACGTTATAGGATGATGATAGATTGGAAGCCAAGAAGTGCTGGGAATTGGGGACAACGTTTGCGTTTTTTATTTGAGGACAAGGCTTGCATATAAGTGTACGGTCGGCGCGTATCCAGGTCGCTCATTTACTCTATGGAAGACGGCTCGTAGTCAATCACGGACTCACACTAGATCGCTTCCCTACTAATAAATGGCATGCAGCTTGCTGCGCAGCCAGATTTCGATATAGTCCGTAAACCCCCTCGAATACACCGAATCCGTTCTAAGCTGAATGTGATCTTGAACGGCGCTCCTTCAGGTCTACAATATATCCAACTCGTCATTCTTCTTTTCACTGCCGTCCGCCTCTTCTCCTGCATTTTCTTCTTCTTAAGTGAGATGTTCTCAAGAGATAGCTCAAGCGAGCTAGACCTTGTATGAACCTCACCTGCTGAAGGGCCCCCAAGCTTACTCCGTGTCTTACTTATGCCCAAGTTAGGAGCGCCGAGTGCGGGCGCAGTTGAACTGCTTGTTGGAGGTGGGAGTGGTCCTATAGCGCCTTGTGGCGAGTCATCGGCAACTGGGACGTAGTGAGGAGGGGATGATGCCATCGACGGACCGGCTGAGAAGGGGAGAGCCTTTGAGGGAGACGCCTCCGAGACAATGAGGCCCGACAAACCCGAAGTAAGTGTCTTTCTGTTGCCCGGGGCGGCCCGATCTGCACGGGAGTCGTAGTCACCGAAAGCGTCTGAAAAGAAGTGATCGCTCATTGATCGTCCCTCTGGGGGTGACAACGTGAGTAAAGGAGCACGTGCATGGCCAGATGTCCTATCATCGCTCTTTGGCGACTTTGACTTCGGAATGACTTGCTTACTCTCCAAAATTTTCGCAAATCTCCTGCGTAATTTGGCCTTGCCTTCTGCAAAAACATACTCGCGGCTCTTTAGGAATCCAGGGTGGTAAGGCAATGGCAGACCATATAGTATAGTTCCCTAGATAAAGGATATCAAGCTTGATGCCAGCTCTGATGAACTCTACAAGTGCATCACAGGTCGGGCAACAACGCTTCGAAACTGGGAGGATGTTCATGGTGTTGAGCAATGCGTCGGTAACCTCCTTTGGAGGCAAAATACGTTGCGAGTTCTTGTAGTCGCCGTCATTCGCCTTGACGGTCTTCTCAACGAACTTTGCTCGATTTGTAGCGAGCAGAAACAGACGCATCGAGATAGTTTCGCAGTGGTAGGTTCTGGTGAAGCTGCGGTTTTCTGATGTGGTGGTGTAGAGCTTCTGTTTGGCAAAACCGTATCCCTTCTCGTCCAGCCATCGCTCAATCTTCTGGAACTTCTCATCCGTCAGAGGTCGCCCCTGTTCGATCTCAAACTCCCGGAGGAACTTTCTAACAGGGAGCTGCTGATCCCGGAATGCCGATGAAATGTAGATTTCCTCGAACCTGGTCTTCTTGATCTACTCTTCCATTCTCTGATCTTGTGCGGTCGGGTTCCTTCAACTCATCAAAAACGCGAGAGCCGTATAATGCAGAAAAATGAGGTCCAATTACGTCAAAGCGGCCGTCGCCCATTTTGACACCCTCTTTGGCATCTAAGAAAGACGGTTCGCCGTCTTCGTCAGGATCGATCTTCGTCTTCTCGAATCCCTCCTCAATCTCGCTTATGGAGGAGTCTGACTTCTCAGAGCTCGAGATCTCGGACTTTTTCGGTGGCAGAGGTGTCGTCGAGCCAGCAGGAAGTTCTGGGTACTGCGGCAGATTCGAGCTCGTCAATTCGAACAATGTCTGAATGAGGCCCAAACTTGTGACAACATATTCACGGAGCTGCTCCTTGAGTATTGTGAATAGCCTAAGCCAGATCGATGCTTCTTGGGTCAGCGCGTTAAGTATTTTGGAAAGATCTCCAAGGAGAGTCTCCCGCCCGACTTCACTCTCAATATTGCGTTCCGTTTCTGTATCGTCAGAAACTGCAACCTCGCTTCGACGTTGATCACGACAGCTGCCAACAGTGTCTGGAAATGTTTCATGAAGTCTTCTGTACATACAATGGGATTTCCCCCATCGATGTCTTGTTTCAAGTCTTGAAGTTCGGCCGTCATCGTGTCCGTTTCTGCAATCGTAGCCCGTTGTTTGCTGTCGATCAGTGTATGTTGCGACATTGCTGAGCTGCTCGCAAGACGTTCGATGACATCAGCAATGATCTTTGTCTGCTTGCGGCTCAACGACTTGTTCAACAACTTCGCCTGCCTCAGAACCTCGTGGAAAATATCGGCTTCTCCAGCAGCGTGAATTTCGTCACCATGCTTCTTTATGTATTTAAATAGGTTCCTCTCTTTTCCTCTCTTCACCTGGCCGTACATCTTGGCGGTCGACGCCAAGACGACGTAGTGCTGCAACGTCTTGTGAGCCTTATTCTTATCTTCAGATGAGTGAGTGGCCTTGACCAGCTGAATGAAGTTGTTCACATGATCACTGAACGTGACCTCCGTCTTTGGGTGATCATTGACTTCCCGGATATCGTCGACTGTCTTTGTCAACAGCCATCGCCCAATGGACCCCTCCACATCGGTGCATGTTGTCTGCTTAGTTTTGACGAAGAGCGGAGGATACTGAACTTGAAGAGTCGGATCGTTATCCCTCTGATCAGGCCGCATGTTGTCAGTCAGCGCAACGTTTGGAGTCGTGTTGTTGTCGGCATCGTCATTTTGGTCGTCTTGATCAAACGCTCCAAGGACGATGGACTTATCGCCACTCGCTGTGGCTGCGACACAATCCTTATGGCAAATACAGAAGTACATAATTTTTTACGTACTGGAACAGCAGGCTGTTTTTGTCCGAGCCTTCGATCTTGTTGGTCGTCCCAGCAGTGGGTGCGTCGAGATTCTTCGTCCAGGCCAGCGCTGCGGTAATGAAGTGCACTTCAAAGAGCTGATCGGACGTGATAAACTTGTTCTCTCAGCCAATGTCTGGTGTATCAGAAATGATGGCGTCGAGTGAAAGAGCTATGCGGGATCGGGAAGGTCTGAACGAGTGTCAGTTGTCTGAATGCGTTCGCAGTCTGTGGTGGCGTGAGGGTGTTCTTTGCGAAGCGAGAAGAGTTGATGAAAGGAGCTTTCGTGATTTTCGTGCGCAAACCCCATGTCGGTGAAAATCTGGTTCAAGTTTGGCAGTTGGCGAGACCCTTTTCGACAACGTCCAATGAGGAGACCGAACGTTGTCTGCTACCACGGGTCAAAAGCAGAAACATTGCGGTGATTAACCAAAGCTCTGAAAGTGGGGCTTTCGCTTGAACACAAATTAGGCAACGCGGTGGCGATTCGCGGGTGGTCTCAGTGAAGGGACGAGGAATCATCACCGCACTGCAGTGGGCTGCAGCAACACGGCTAACGGGGTCGCGACAATGAGTGTACCGATATAAATAACGCTTGTATGGTTCGGTTTAGATCGAAATGTTCTAGTTGCAGTTTCCATTCAGCTTCTCATTCTCGAAAAGCCAGAGTACGCCTGTATCATCTGCCCCATTCTGAAAGAAGAAACGCCGGCAAACCGCTGAACCTGGCAGACTCCTAATGAAAAGTCTTTGAGCCTACCTCACCATTGATAAGATCATCTCGTGGGCAAATTTCCCTAGGTCTTATGCTTGCCCAGGGGACCCAGATCTGGAGCCTTGCGCCGCGAGCACGTTTGCTGAATTCCCACAAACCCTGTTTTTTTATGCGTCGAACACTATGCGCGACAAAAGATTCAGGAATTTACAGGTCATTGATCAAGTATCTAGAACCGCAGGTGTGATTAATATCAGTATGCCCAAGTATCTAAGTATCTAAAGATCCTCAGGCTGAGTTCAATTTTATGACACCGTGTATCAGATCCTTCCTCTTCGTTCGGATTCCCAATACAAGAGCCCACGCTGACCCAGAAATCGTCGAGGATAAGGGGTGGATGGGAGCCTCGCGGGCTCGACTCTCTCTTCATGACCGGCTCTTGTGCCTGCTCCACCCCAACCAAAAACCTCTCTCGCAGCCATGCCACTGCCTGTGCAGACACCGAAATTTGCCTGAAGCTGCCAAGAAAGAACCCTCTTTCGCTTGACCTAAAGCCCACACAGCAAATCGTCCTGCCCCTTACGCTTGCCCAGGACCCCAGTATCCGGAGCCTCAAGCCACGGGCACGCCTGCTGAGCCCTCACAGGGCCCGTTTTGAACACAAAAAGTAGCTCATGCAGCTCATCGCGGAGCCTCTGATGCTGCGTCTTGACAAACTTGCCGCTGTCCAGGAGCCCATCAGCAGCCTCGCGGAAACCTTTGAGTTGGGCCATGACCTCGGACACGAGATCTCGACAGCACTGCGCCCAGCGCTCCTTCAGCGTCTCGGCGATATTGGTGGCCATGACCGCTGAGAATTTTTGCATCGGATATTCGGGCGCGCAGAGGCTCTCTTGCAGGCCCTTGCAATGGCGCGCGTATGCGCCTCTGCCGCCGCAGATGTCGAGCACTGTGTCACAGAAAGGCTTCATCGCCAGAGCCACTGGAGCATAGACGTTTGTCTCGGTCTTGTAATGGACGTAGGTGGCGCGCAGTTTGCTCTCGAGTCCAGTTCGGAGTTTGCCTTGTGCGAGTCCAATTCTGCGCGCCCTCGTTTCGAGCGCAGCGCTCGCGTTGCTCTTCAGCTCAGCATGGCGCGTCAAGTTCTCGATATGCGCTCTCAGCTGTGCCAGTATGAACTGCACTGGTGCGTTGAGACTTGTGGTCAGGTCCCCAATTTGACCGTTGATTCGATTTCGCCACTGTCTGATGAATGGCTCCATGATGACCATGATCTCGTTGTTCATATTGAGACCTTTGGCTACACCATTCACAGGCATACCCTTCTCTCTGAGCAGCTTTAGGAATGTTGTCCAGAACGGGCTTGGATATCTGAAGCCCTTCACGATGCTTGCGATACCTCTCAGAATGCCTTCCTCAGCCTTGTCGGCGCCCCAGGACTTGATTACACTCTTTGGTATCTTACAATCTGCAAAATCGTCTAGGGTGATCTCCAGTCTTGGAAGCCAAGCGACGAGGTCTCGACGCATTCCTTCGTACATAGAGTCGCCCTTGAATTTTCCAAGGATGCGCAGAATTTGGCTGACAATGTCTGGTAGCATCTCATGGACGTGATATTCGGGGTTGTCGTAGTTCATCCGAGCTGGTACCCCAAGCAGGTATTGTCGCAGCCGAGAGATTCCTGCAGCCTCGACAGAGAGCCTGGGGGGTTCGTAACCATAAGGGTTCTTCGCACATTGCATATTGTCGAGCAGATTTGAGAAGCACTCTCAACTGGACGCCCTTCTCGCGGAGAGCCCGCTCGATGTTATCCGCTTCGTGTTTGAGGTATGCAGCTCCTGGTGCCTGCAGCACATAGTCCTGGTACTCGTTGATCAGACGATGGTTCTCTGTCTGTGCTCTGCGTAACTTCGAACATTGCTGCAAACACCATGCTTCGATGGATGGAGGTTCTCTTATGGACTGCACCCTCTGTGCCAGATCGTCCAGAAGCACATATTGCAACAGTGAGCTCGATATGACACAAGTACTGTATAGCCGAGACCACCTACGTCAGACTTATTCGCAACTAGAAGATTATTTCGCACTCCAAGGCGTTTGAGTGATAGATCGTGATACACTTTGTGATTTTCGTTGGTCACGATTCGCTAGAGCTGAAGCAATGACGATCTCGAAGTCTGCCCGCTGGCGGAATTCTTCAATCAATGCAGTACGAATTTGATTGTCGTCACCAAAGCCGAATATGTGTGTTAGTGAGGTTCTTCGCATGATTGAAAACTGCATACCTGGCAGGTCAAGGAACTCCAAGTTTTTCCTCAGGAGGATGTGGCCCGTTTCAATTCGCAGGGGCTTCACTAGGGGCCACAGTCGCTCAGTATCTTCTTAAACTTCAGGCAGATCTTTGTCAGGAACTACCAGACGATGTTTAAAGCCACCGTGTGCGCCGATCTCGAGCAAAAGCTCCTTGGCATACCTGACGTATTTAGCTATGAAGCTAGCATGTCTCATTTCCTCAGAAGAGAGGGCATCCATCAGCTCGACGCCCCGTTCTGGGCTGCTGTCGGCCTTGAAGATAACACTGAAGAATCTCTTGGCTGTTCGGGCGCTTTTTATGATCTGCTCCCTCTGGACATCATTAAGCAGAGGTAACTCTTGACTTTCCTCGTCGTCATCATTTTCGATTCCGGACTTTAAGTTATACAGGTCTTGCAGCAGACTGCATTGATCGTGGGTGTAAGTGTAGAGTTCAATGTTTACGAGGGAACCCGTCCCTGTATCGCCGAGTCTGCTCTTCTACACAGTCGTTGATCTCTGCATCATTAGGTACTGGATTAAGACATCGCTCTCCTGGGAATCATCGCTGGCACCGATCTTGTGCGCGACGATAGTCGGAAATGCCGTGCATGCAGAAGATGATGATGAGACATGCACAAGGTCACGACCGAAAGCTGAGCATAGACATTGTCTCTTTCCCATGACCTGTTCGCGGAGAATCGCAATACAAAGACTCTTCTTGTGCGATACTGTCTTGGCCTCTTCCAGTGCTGCGCAGAGTTTTTCGATCTCAGCATCGTCGGCGGAACGTTTGCTCATGGTGGTGAGAAGGCTGGAGCACATATGGTGAATCTGGGTCGTTGCATAGTTGCGATCGAGGCTGTACCACGGGTGGTACGGGAGTTTCTCGAAAATCGCATCGTAAGCGATAGCCTGGATCGTGGCGCGCTCTTGGGATCGAGAGAAGGACAGTAATTTCGCCGGCCGCTGCGAATCCAGAAGCCTGGATTGCCTGTGCTTACACAATCAGAAGTCTGGATCACTGAAAGGAAGTCGCATGATCCGGGAGGCACTTACATAGACATGATGCTAAGCGTGGCCTGCCGACAAAGCCGGAAGCTGAGCTTGTGGTAGTACTGGCTAGTTAGAAAGAGTTGCGGACGTCACAAAGAATGATGTAGGAAGGGTCTATAAAGAGTATAGGTGGGCGAGGACGTGGGGGCCACTGTACAAGTAGTGGCGTCAAGTGAGAGTGTTCATGCCCTTTGCGCGTATGTCAAGGTAATTCTGTGGCCACCGCGCGCGGTACAGCAGGCTAAAAGCGAGATCGAAGACAATACCACCAAACAGGCCCTCTGAAGACATTGCCGGCTTTGTAATGATGAAGAGCCAAGCCTGAGGAAGCAAAAGTGTATGTCTGCGAATCTGCACAATGTCGAAGCAGCATGCGGCGCAGCGTCGCATGCCGGGCGAAAGAGAATGTTAGAGAGAAGCCAGCAAACGAGCGTACTCGTCATGTTCGTAGAAGAGAAGTAGAAGGCGCGGTCTTTCGGAACCGATGTAAGGCGTTCAGGAAGGGAAGGGGGAAAAAGGAACGACACTATTGATCTCTTCTGTCGGCCGATTACTCTGTGTCTGAAAAGCTATCTCATGGGTTGAAAGAAGAATGCGTACATCCCTGATGCTCTCAAATTCAATGTCATACTTTATCCCATATGCAAGCATCCACGCCTCCATCAGCCCCACGATCAAGTGCCAGGAAGGAGATCTACCTCCATCTTAATCTTAACAGTCCTCGCCTTCTTCGCAGCGCGCCGCGTCTCTGCACCAGGACACTGGGCGTTGAGCACGGCAAGCGTCGCACTGAACCTTCGCAGCTTCCTCGCCAGATCCGCGCGAACCCCAATGTGCTCTGCCGACATGACCACGTCGTTCTCCAGCAGCTCTGCCAGGCCTGCGCGAAATCTCCAAACAGCAGCTTGATAGATTCGATGTATCGCGCCTCAATGGCCTCCCACTGCTCGTATTGACGAGCCCTGATTTGCTTTGCGATGGAGTCGGGGAGTGCGGGTTTCTTGTCGTTTTGCTTGGTGATTACCGCGATCAGCTCCTTGCACTGTAGCTTGTAGATGCCCCTGCGCTGTTTGGGACGTTCGTGCATGCGCAAATCGTTGATGCAGTCGTAGGCCGACCTCATCTCCCGGGCAATGGGGCACTTGATGTCGTCCTCGATAGTGAAGTGTTTGTAGTTCTCGACCACTGAGGCTTCGAGCTGGGTGCTGAGGTTGTCTTGAGGCAGAGTGATGCGATGCGCGAGTTTCTCCAGTGTGTCGGATGCTTTTTGCTTCAGTGCTGGGATACTGGCGGCATCTCGCAGGCGCTGTGCTAGCGTCCTGATGGTGGCTTAGATTGGAGTGTCGAGCTCACGCATCAGTTCCTGAGCCTTGGGCAGCGTTGCTTTCTTCCACTTGAGAACATAGCCTTTGTACTTGCCCAGGAGTTCTTCGTTGAGATTTTTGCCGGCATGAAGACTGTATGTCGACATGCCGCCATTTCGGAGCATAAGCCAGAACTTTTGGTATTGTGCTTTCTCTACGGAGTCCTCTTGCGCCTCCGTGAATAAGAGTTGAGATGGGTCTCGATGCTCTGAGCAATCTTACTCCTCGTTGTATCATCCCATGCTTTGGGAACGAGTGTCTCCGGAGCGACTTCGAATAGACTTGTGAGCGTAGTGTCTAGCTTAGGGAGACAGTCTACTAAGTAGTTGTGCAAATTGGTAACATCGATGTCGTCATCAAACCTGGTCAGGATGCGTGAATACATTTTCTTCGATATCGGATAACACCTCGAAGACATGATTAGACAGATCTTCGTAGTTCCCCTCGGCTGGTAGCGCCAGGAGAGCTTGTCGAAGTGCGGGGATGCCAGTACCGTCTGGGTCAAACGGAGGATCCCGAAAAAGTGCTCTGCTATGTCAACAGCCTTTTGCAGTGCTTTGGGCACCTTTTTGCATTTGGGGTTTTGTTGGCGGGCCGTGTGGTTGCAACGCCCAGGAGATCGTCAGAGGATTCTTCTCTAGCGGATTCCTCGTCGTGGTTGTGGTTGTGGTTGTGGTTGTGGTTGTGGTTGTGGTTGTGGTTGTGGTTGTGGTCGTGGTCGTGGTCGTGGTCGTGGTCGTGGTCGACGTGGTCGTAGTCGTCTGCCTCTGATATCTCATGTTCCTCTTCGCTCAATTCCTCGTCCTCGAGCTCGGTAGGTGCGTACACGTCTGCTTAGCGGCGGATGTGCTCCTGCATGAAGTCGTGGATGTCACCAAGTTCCAGGTAGGTGACCTTGACACCACTTTGTTCGGCGTCATCGCAAGCGCCGTCCTTGTACTCGATGATGGTTGCAAATGCTGTGCACGCGCTCGAACTTACGGATGCGTCGACCAAATCACGATTCATGAGAGCGTTGATTGTGGAGCTCTTCCCAACACCTTGATTTCCGACTATCGCCATGTTGAACTTCTTTCGCTGAGGAGTCTTCTTGGCGCGGTCAAGGACTCTAAGCAGATCGGCAATCTCCAAGTCTGTCGCCTTGCAGTCTGCGACAGAAGCCTAGTTTGTCGCACATCTGCTGAATGGTGGTTCGAAGGGAGTCGGTATCCAAGTTATACCAAAGCTTATCCAGGAGTTACTCAGTACTCGGATCGTAGACATAGCCGTCATGATGCTTGCTTGTGCCGGGGGGGTGTTCTTGCCGAGTCTTCCGATCAATGAAGTCGAGGCATGTGCGGAGTTTGGCAGCCTTTGGCGCTCGTGTCAGCGGTCGCTTCGACATGTTGGTGGATGAGCCGCAGTGGGTGACTGTGTGCGTGGTGTGATGTCAAGTAATGTGCGGCAGTAGGTTGGTTGTGTGGTGGAGGAAGGCGCCTAATGACAGGCGGGATGTACTGATATAGGGCTGTGAAGTGGGTGCATCAAGTGCGGTGAAGTGAGTACATCAAGGGCTGTGAAGTGAGTGCATCAAGGGCTGTGAAGTGGGTGCATCAAGT